AGAGCAAAACTGTATGGTACCTACGCCTTTACAGCTGGACACAACGCCAGAAACAGCCCAGGGGTCATGATTACTAGTTGCCACTGATGGATATGAGGCATGGGTGGTTTGTGACAGCTGACGATTCTATTATACAGCATTTGAGAGGATTGTTTCCAGACAACCGTTTCGCCCCGGCTGCTTAGTGAATTATTCACGAGGTAGAAACCAATTGTAGAAACCATATTAGATGTCATCTGACACCACGCCGGGTTGTGAAGTGGTGGAGTTTAAGGATGTTAATATAACCATCCGAGTATTAAAAGGTTCGGGCGCTGGTGTTGTAGAGGCAAAAATTACAAACCGATCAGTTTCTCCATATTTGAAATTGCCTCCTCAATCCAGTGGATGGCGGGATGGGCTGTTTCAGCGGCAGAGTGCTTCCGGCGTGCCGCTTCGCGGCCTGATATTTCACTATTCGGGTTGGACACTGGGGTGGGGTGGGGGAGGAATAAGCTGGTAAGGGTCTAATAAGCGTCGGCTTGGTGAATGTTTGTTTTTCTTGATATATTAGATCAATAATGTGGTTTATGGATGGTCCCAAATACCGAGCAACAGAGATGTTGGTTTACCGTTTAAGCGGATGTTAATAGAAAGTGATTTTACCCTAACCCCTCACTTACCTCAATCCCCCCACCCCCCAACCATGTACTCGACAGGCTGCCCCTGGATGGTTTAATAAACTGGTGACGTATGTCAACGCTGATGTCAGTGCGCGTCTAATGAGAAAACATAAATTAGCATGTGCTTTGGTTCAGTCAGACTCTGGGGGTGAAGGAAGAGGTTGTTACGTCTAATAATGTTGTTACGTACAATGTTGGTGTATTTATCCCCTGTGCAACGGCTACCACCTGCATAGAAAGTTAATAGTCATTCTCCCCCACCCACCCCATTGACCTAAATGCCAACAGTCCAGCGAGCACTGGTCAGTCATATGAGAAACACACGGTGTGTGTGTTACGTTACCACCAACAGTGCTGCGCTAGCACTCCTTACAAGCCGTCTTTGATGCATGACTCATGACCTAGGCCAGTTTGACCTGTTTGTTACGTTTACAGTGTAGCCAGCTGACCATGGATTGCGTGGAGTCAAGCCTTGCTTAACCGGCATGCCACAGACCATTGGCCAGTGGTGAGTCATGTGAATGCAAACAACCTATACGTAACTCCAAGGCCGAATCATAAATTATAACAGATTTGGTTAGAACCACTTCTGCCGTTAGCAAACCATTTTTTCCCCCTACAGTCTCCAGTATGGAGGAAAGGAATTTTCGGCCAAAGGAAGATATTATTTTTCGTGGGGTAGGGGTGGCAACAGTCTTCGCCCGCCGTTGGGTGACACTATTCCTAGCTACGACATTGAGCCCCCCGAAAACCTTTCAATTTAATGAATTTTTGGGAAATGTATAAACCTTCAAGTTCCTTCACATGCATCATCAAAATACTTAATTATATGCGTACCAATGCCACTAACGCTACCAGATGGCGCTATTTCACGAAATAAAACGCTCGATAACTGCGCTAAATGAGTTTCTTAAAAATAACGTTGGTGCGTTTGGTGAGTAATATTTTAGTTTTTATTCTTCTTCTAATTATTATTATTATCATTTTTGCGGAAATAATCCCAATGATGCAATAAATCTGCGGAGAAAAAGAGGGTGAGACAAAATATACATATAGTTCAGGGGCGTGGAAAAAAATTGTGAGATGGCGTACCCTGTTCCCTCTCCCCCCCCCCCCCCCATGTTGTATCGCGAATTTAGATTATATAAAGTACGTCACTTGAGTGCATGTTTTGTCAAGTAACTTTAGTAGATGGGAAATCCGTGTGTTTCCCACTGCCATTATTCGATGACCGTAACTGTCTGTAACTAGCCTTGACAGAGTCAAGGGGCGCCAAAATCGTCTTTTTACTAGTCCACCCGGCTGCATTTAAAAAAGTGTGTATTGAAAGACGCCATATTCAGGCTTTCGCTCCAGGAGCCTTTTATCTTTTGGCACGGCTCTAGGTGGAAAACACGTTTCCCAATATTTTAGATTTTCAAATCAATTAATTTTTTGTTTGGTCTATGTTTAGGGATATCCAGGGATTTTTATTATTATCATTTTTTTGGGGGGTTGGGGGGGGGGCGTTGTTTAATTAAATCAAAAAGTTAAACTTCAAGCGTCATATATTCATTAATTAGTAATTTACTGACGAATTTTGAATGCCTAGTAGTTTGAAATTTCCATACAAAAAAAAAAAAAAGGAAAAAAAAAACTTTAAATTTATTGAATTTATTTTTTTAACTTTTTTTTTTTTTACTTTTTTTTTTTTTTGGGGGGGGGGGTGTGAAATTTATACTCCTTCAACTTCCCTCAGATAAATCACACATTAATAAATATAATATGCCTTTTATAAATATCTCTCATCTTCTTTTCATAATTATGCCATTAAGATACATTTTTTAATGACCAGATTTAATTAGCCACAAGAAATCTACAGCCTTTTTCTTCCAAAGAATTTTAATTTTTTTCTTTTTGTGTATCTGGTAAAACTTGTAAGCTTTTAAAATGTAAATAAAGTGGGGAAAATGTGATTATTATTCTTATAGTTGTGTTTCATTTTCTTTCAACGTGTATACTTAATTATGTTAACATCTGTTCTGTTTTGTGACGAACACATTTTTTGGATGGAAACATTGACACATTTTTAAAAAAATTAATGAAATGGTTTAACAAATCAAAAGTTTAAAATTTATTTTAAAAAAAAACGTAACTATTTAGAAACTTTTAAAAAAAAAGGATTTGTATAAAAACATCAGGGTTAAGTGAAAGTAAATTTACTCTAGCATCTCCTCTGTTCTGTTCCCACAACCCCAACTCCAATTTCGCCCGTGACTACTGAAAATTTGTCATAATAATCTAATTATTATTTTTTTTTTAAATGACAAAAAATTTGATTTTTCATTTAGTTTGTTGGTAATCTATAGCTGAACTATATAGTTTTCATATGTAAAACTAAGATGGGGGCAAAGGCACAGCCCCCGGGGGGGGGGGGGGACAGCACACGACCGCAATGAATAATGTTTATGCATAGCGCGAATGACGTTATCAGAGCTGACCCAGGGTGTCGTAATACTTAATGATGGTGCCCGTAGATGCCCCCCCCCCCACACGAACGCTTGAAATACTCCACCCCACTTTTTTTTCCGGATGAAATTATTTTAAAGAAACACTGGTCACAACACCTAGGCAAACCAGGCCCTCTAATACTTTAACTAATATTACCTGATCATGTTAGAAAGGAATAGGGAGGCCTAGTACATTACCTTGCCCAGGGCCCCTCGTTGCTGTTAAGGTGGCCCTGGGTCAGTTTATGTGAGCTTTCCTCTGCAGCTCGCTATGCTCGGCATATGGGTTGTACAGGTGATAAATAAACCAAACTCTACAACGGCGTAACAATGTGTGTTTGTCAGAGCTGCCCCGTGACTTTTGGAGGCACCCTGCCACTTTCCGTTTTTTAGCCTCTTGCATTCACAATAATCTCTTATATATTATATTTATTGCTTGTGGTGTGACTGCTTCCATTTTCAGATAGCGCGCAAAATATAATTCCCGAGAACCACCCTAAATGATTTAAAAAAAAAAAATAATTAATAATAATCATGCAACTGCATTTGATGCATACAATTTTATTTTCGGAAAATTAAATCGTCGCAATTTAAATACAGTGTAATAAATATTCGGTTTAAAAGTGGTTGGGACATCAAAATATTAATATAGTTGATGGGCGTGAAGTAAAAAGTGTGCAGTGACGTATCATGGGGGAAGGGGTGAAGCAAAAAATTTGGATTCTTAAATGTGCGTCACTTGAGTTCGTGTTTTGTCAAGTAACTTTAGTAGATGGGAAGTTCACGCATTGCTGTCGCCAATGTTTGGCGGGCTATGGCTGGTTTACTTTATTTTCTTAATCACAAATTTGGACCCCTTTAAATTTCCTAGTTCGACTGCTGCCAACGCCAGCCTTAGGTAAACTTTCGCCTTGTGCGAAGCGACCGTTCGGCGCCCCCTTCCCTGTCCCTGTATGGCTCAGCTCTTTTTCCGATTACAACGTAGGCTATGGAGCACGAGTTATGATGCTATAAATGTAGATAACCATACGCATTTTAACATGCACACTAATTTAGACTAAGAATGCAACTTTCACTGTATAAAAACTCTTTGTTTGAACAGCGATTGTACGACAAGTTAGAATACCGTTTCTCGACCCCGGACCCCGAGGTACACACTTCACTATAATAAACTAAGGGAATTTAAATATTTACTAGGCGCCCCAGGCGCCGCTATAGCCACGGCGCCCTGTGCGAGGGCACATGTCGCACACCCTAAAGGCCGCCATTGCTACAGCCGCAGGGGTTGCAGGTCCCACGCAACGGTGCTGCTTTCGTATGTGTGTATCCGTAATTATGTTTTAAAAATAGTTTACTTCTCTTTTTTTGTATATTTCCTAAACCACCAATTACTAACCATTTCTTAAACAATGCACAAAAAGTTGTTTCTATTTTGTTATCGCTTAATTAAACAGATAACCACTATCCGAATATGCCTAACCAACCAGTAACCCTATTAATCCGTGCATTGGTCATGATTGGTTTTGCTGGGAATAAGTCAAAGGTTGTTATATTCGCTAAAGCTGCTTGTTTAATATCGGTGCTGCAGCTCTAAGCCTTTGGGCATCTTGAGATACATCAAGAGAAATACAGAGTACACATGCCATCTATCATCTAACCTAAAATAAATAAATATAGTAACATTTTGAAGAACATATACAATTATATAAGTCACAAGAATAATCGTCGCTAGGGTTATAAATGCGTGAGAACCGCCACTGTAAGGTGGTGTTCTTGTAGGCATGAGAAAATCTATTTTTAGCAATGCTGTCCGTCATTTCAATCACGTGACTCTCCCGGAAATCTCCGAAGATATAAAAATGGAGGACTCCTTTCGTTGCTGAAGACTGCCATCGCTAGTACTTAAAAACATTTCTGTCGCCAAACCTGGAGCGACTCTTTGTTTTATTTGGATTAATAATTTTATTTGAAGTATATTGTTTTCTTTTGATGTATTATTAGGTGGATATGTTAATGTAAAGTAAGACGAAATCATAATTGTATTGTAGGCTTACATTCTTCGGAAACTAGTACTGAGTAAAGTTCAGTAGGCCTAGCCTAGAGAATTAGTTAGCCTAGTTTCAAGAAAATAAATATGCCTTTTTAGAAGAGTGCTGTGGTGGTTATTTACTGTGGATTAATTACACACATATTTTAACAGTAAAAACCTACATCGATGTTGGTGTTTGTGGACGAGTCAATATGGTCAACTTTAACTTTAGGATAGTGGTGAATAATAATTGTGTTTGATTTTGTAGGTAGTGTAAAAGTAAAAGTGCTTTTTCCTATAATTTGGTTTCTTTTGTGCCTTGTTTATCAATAAAGTTGACATTTGGATTAGCAGCATCAGCACCATGACTACTCTCACGGATTGTACTATTGGGAGTACGACAACTGACAACAACAACATCAAACCTTTGTCCGAAATTACGGGCACAGGGATTCAATCTCCAACGAGCCCTAAAGGGCCCATCCAAACGGGCCCCAAACACAAACTCATCACAGAAGCGGATGTTCAAGTATGTCGGCTCAATCACACAAGGACCATAGTCAGTAAAATAATGAACTCTCGATATCTAAGGCGATGGGAAAGTCATAGAATTGTTTTGGATGATAACGAAATGCGGTCTACCACAGTAAGTTTTTTAAATCTCCATTTCTGAAAGCTAAAGTTCATTAATGAAATGATTTCATTAATGAACTTTAGTAGCTTTAACTTTTTAGTAATGTTAGGCTCTTATGTTAGCCTATATTCATATATAATTATATTTATATGATATATGGTTGTTTGTATAATGGGGTGGGGCTCAGGTACAAAAATCAATACTAATACTCTAGTCCTAGTCTAACAAGTTCATGGCTGTTGAGTAAAGACTATAGAAAAATGAAGTATAGAATTTTACTCTTAATGGGCTACTATTTTTTTGTTTTGCTTTAGACTATTTAGATTTAAATGCTTGTTATTTTGTCAGCAAATAGCAGTCAGCTGGTGAGTGGTGTAGTCTGATGTGTGCAACACTCAACTGTCAACAGGGAATGGTCTTAACTGTCTTAATTATAGCCTAGTCGAAATGGATTGAATTATTACTAAGTCTAGGTCTATTATATGCCATGGCCATAGGCCTATATGAACAGAATATGATATATTATAGATTGTCATTAGTATTTAATAAGTTTATAAAATATTTATATTAGCTCACTACAAAGCCATTATTCCTAATGAATGACGTTAATGTTTAATTTAAAATATCTACACTCTAAATTTATAATTGATTATGAACCACAGACTATTTCAGTATTGTAAACTTAAATAGCTAAATGAAACTAATTGCATATTTTGAATGAAGTTGTTAAATATTGTCTTGCCCAAGCCCAAGTATTTTACATAATTTATTTACTGTTCCCACTTTGAGGCAGGGTTTAATTCAGCCAGTTAGTAGGAGTTCCCAAAATTTGTTTCTGAAGCTGTCTTGTTGGCTTGTTTTTATCGTTGTTTTTTTATCTCTTTTTTTCTTCTTCTCAAAAGACATGTTTAGAATGTCAGTTTAATATGGCAAACTAGTTGTTCAATCTTTTGAAAGACACCACTGACCACTGTAGTTAGACTATTCTAAATTTAATTACTAAGTCTATTACCTTAGAACAGTGATCGGCAAACTCATTAGTCAAAAGAGCCAAAAATCAGCAGCAGGGCAATTAAACAATCTTTGAGAGCCAAATTTCTTTTCAAGAACCTGTCATGAACCATGTTTTTTTTTTTTGGAGTCAAAACCCATTTGTGGCCACTGACTGAGCCGCACTCAGGTCCTTAAAGCACCACATTTTGCAGACCACTGACTTAGAATGTCAGAAATTCCCTTAAAGATATATAAATTAAAATGTGTTCAAAATATCAAAACTGATTTCTTCTAATATTAAAGAATAGTCTAGCTACAGTGGTCAGTGTTGTCTTCCAAAAAATTGAACAACTACTTTGCCATATTATATGATATTGAAATTCATTCTAACTCTGTCTTTTGAGAAGAAAGTGAGTTAATAAAACCCTGTCAGTTAATAACAATAATTTAGACATAAGGGCTGTGATAATAAGAATATTAAAATGTACTTCTTAATTGATTCAAATCGTTTAAGTTTGGTAAATAAATGCAAAAGTAAATAACTTCTTAGAGGTAATTATGATTGTCACATTTAATTTTCTTAATTGCTCACATAAGAAATAAAATGTATGCAGAATATCCGAGTGTATCTAAAATAACTGTTATGCATATTGTTTCTAGATTGTAACCATGCAATACAAAATGTATTTTTATTAACAGAAGGAAATTTAATATCAAAGATAGTGTTTATGATAACATCGTTCTTTTTATAAAAACTTAAATAACTAGCTTCATCTTGTTTTATTCTTCTGCTCCAAGGCATTGCAAAACATAACTATTTTCATAAACACGCTTCATTAAGTTATTGTTGTATGCTTAACTTGAGTGTTGGAGAAAGGACATGAATATAACATATTATTGGCCATTTAATAATGTTTTATGCAGTCTTTATGGAATTATATGGTCTTGGTTTTATTTTGTGTGGGGTTTGTGAATCTATTTGAGGAGGCCATCTCTTTGTGCTGATTAGTTTAAATAAATGTCTTTTGGTTCATGCAATGGACAGGAGCAGTAATCATTGTCAATGTACTTGCAGTTCTTTAAAAGGAAAAAATATTGCTCAGCCATAAAATGGTTACATTTAATGTGTGGGTGATTTTCAATTCATATAGTGGCATTTTAGCTCTAGATGTCAGTATGCCACTTAGAGCATTCCTTGACAGTTAAGATAACACATTTTCTGTGACAAGATGCCCCTTTTATAAAGTTATCCCAATCTCAACATCTTTAAAAAAAAAAAAAAAAAAAAAAAAAAAAATAAAAAAATAAAAATAAAAAAAAAAAAAAAAAAAAAAAAATTGAAAAAAACAAAAAAGCCTTAAAAATTTATTAAAGGATTCCCTCTATTTTTGTGACTTTGTATGAGGGTTGTGGAATAATTAGATTTTTTTTATTCTACCATTAAAAAAAAAAAAAAAAAAAAAAAAAAATTGCAACAATCGAAACAGCCTTACAAATTTATTTAAGGCTTCGCTCTATTTCTGTGACTTTGTATGAGGGCTGTGGAATAATTAGATTTGTTGTAGTCTACCATTAAAAAATAAAAGAGCCGTTCGTTCGGGGTTTGAGGAAACATGAGGTGTCAAAAATTATGTAAAGTGTGGAAGGCCTGATGTCCATTGTTGGATTTGTGCAGTGACGGTAGTCAAACAAAGTTTAGATAGTCCAACTTATACATTCCGTGAGCCATATAAAACACGTCTCATATTGGAAGTCAGTGATAATACGATATATACCCGTGTATCCGTATAGGTCACACTACTGGATGAGTTGCACCCTTAATTTGGGGGTGTTCAATTGGGCATTTGAGTTGGCCCGCAGATAGGTCACATCCTTAGTTTGAGGAGTAACTTGGCTCTTTTTAAATATTAAGTCTGTTATATGAACTGTGCTTTTGTTTCGTGAGTTTAGTTCAAAAGCTTCGGGTGGCTAATTGGCCCACTTTTCGTCAACCTATCGAGCTGAAACTTGGCACATAGACTCGATGACAACACATTCTACCAAATTGTCAGCCCCACCTATGCCTCCTAAAATCAGTTCCTCCTGTTTTTCAATGGAAGATTAAGGAAACATGATAAAACTGATAGCTGGTGGGTCATTAGAATATTATATATAGTTCAGGGCGTGAAAAAAAATTGGGGTTGTTAGTCTTTTGGGGGAGGAGGGAGGGCACTAAATTGGGATTCTTATTAAGTGCGTTACTTTTATGTATGTCTTGTCAAATGTTCAGCCCCACTCCAATTGCCAGATATCACATTTAAATTTTATAAAGGATTTTTACGAAAGACCTTGTTTTTAAAGAGGAGGGGGCGAGGGTTCTTACAGTACAGCCGGTACATATTTGTTTAATATTAACCGCTGTCTAGTAAAATACAAATGTTTTAATAAGAACTTAAAAACGGAAGCAATCAGTTATTTGTTTATTAAAGAATAGGTAGTTAATAAAACACAATAAATGATTGTCCTGTGCTCGGGGGTAAGTAAGAGGATACAATCGCCGTTAAGCCACGCTCTCTGTCTCAGGGCGACCCAGACCGCCCCGGGCCCATACTTCGGTGTACACGTCGAGGGAGAACGGGAAAGTTGTAAATGGAAGTGGATTCGCTTTGTCAAGGTCACTTTATCAGAGGGGACGCGTCGCAGCCTTCCTAGAGACGTGTATATCCGTGACGCGCATGAATGGACCCGGGGGTAGGGAGGCGCGTGTGGGGGAGGGGGGGGACGTCTTGGATGGGATAATGTTAGACTTCAATAATTAAAATCTCATGTAACGCCCGCTGGTAAGAGTTGTAAGACCTTTGAATGACATATGGGTTACATATACTTATACGGTGCACCTCATAAACCCCACGTGAAATCTGGAACCTTCGGTAATCACCGACCTGCGTGTAACGTTTCCATGCATACTATATTGATGAAACGATACCATGGACTGTACATACATTTAATCAAACTAGTATCATTATATAAAAAGCTCATTTTAAGATACCATGGACTGTGCATACATTTATCAAACTAGTATCATTGTATAAAAAGATCATTAAGATACCATGGACTGTGCATACATTTATCAAACTAGTATCATTATATAAAAAGCTCATTAAGATACCATGGACTGTGCATACATTTATCAAACTAGTATCATTATATAAAAAGCTCATTAAGATACCATGGACTGTACATACATTTATCAAACTAGTATCATTATATAAAAAGCTCATTTTAAGATACCATGGACTGTGCATACATTTATCAAACTAGTATCATTGTATAAAAAGATCATTAAGATACCATGGACTGTGCATACATTTATCAAACTAGTATCATTATATAAAAAGCTCATTAAGATACCATGGACTGTACATACATTTAATCAAACTAGTATCATTATATAAAAAGCTCATTAAGATACCATGGACTGTGCATACATTTATCAAACTAGTATCATTATATAAAAAGCTCATTAAGATACCATGGACTGTGCATACATTTATCTAACTAGTATCATTATATAAAAAGCTCATTAAGATACCATGGACTGTGCATACATTTATCAAACTAGTATCATTATATAAAAAAGCTCATTAAAATACCATGGACTGCACATATATTTATCAAACTAGTATCATTATATAAAAAGCTCATTAAAATACCATGGACTGTGCCTACATTTATCAAACTAGTATCATTATATAAAAAAACTCATTAAGATACCATGGGCTGTACATACAGTTATCAAACAAGTATCGTTAAATAACAAGCTCATTAAGATAACATAGACTGTACATAAAGTATCAGACTAGTATAGCTATATGAAAAGCTAATCTTTTACGTTTTATTGAAAGAAAAAAAAGAAGAAAAAAAAGAACTAGAGTTGTTTAATTTGTGTTTTATATTGTGTTTCCTTTGGGCACACCAAAGCAAGGTTGGTGTCTGGAAAATAGGGTTGATATTTAGAGAAGGATCCCTTAAGCATTAAGGAGCTCGTGACACTTTCCCATTCTTTGGTAACAACAAATGTTAAATTTTACAGCCTGTCACGGATTAGGGCTGTAAGTGAACAAAGAAAAGGAACATTGTGTGTGGGTGTGGGGGGGGGGGGAGTTGAAAGTGGGTAACCTATAGTTCATTCTCAAACACGACACTATTTGGACCAGCGTTGTCTGAATCTCCTGATCATCTGATAATACGTATGCTAGTATCGGGTTAACGATGTTTCGAGTTTATTTAACGTTTGAACAGGTCACCGCGATAGGTGATTGACACCCCCCCCCCCAACCTAGATATCTCTCTTTAAGATGTTCCTAAAGTGAGTTATCGTGAGTACTCGCGAGTTTTTGCCCCTCTCCCTTCTTACAGTACAGCCGGTAATTGATGTTCTTTCTTGCTTTCTCTTTCTTCTGACGAAACTAACGATTTGGCCCANCTTAAGCAATAAGGAGCTCGTGACAATTTCCCATTCTTTGGTAACAACAAATGGTAAATTTTACAGCCTGTCACGGATTAGGGCTGGAAGGGAACAAAGAAAAGGAACATTGTGTGTGGGTGTGGGGGGGGGGGAGTTGAAAGTGGGTAACCTATAGTTCATTCTCAAACACGACACTATTTGGACCAGCGTTGTCTGAATCTCCTGATCATCTGATAATACGTATGCTAGTATCGGGTTAACGATGTTTCGAGTTTATTTAACGTTTGAACAGGTCACCGCGATAGGTGATTGACACCCCCCCCCCCAACCTAGATATCTCTCTTTAAGATGTTCCTAAAGTGAGTTATCGTGAGTACTCGCGAGTTTTTGCCCCTCTCCCTTCTTACAGTACAGCCGGTAATTGATGTTCTTTCTTGCTTTCTCTTTCTTCTGACGAAACTAACGATTTGGCCCATTCCTTTTTTTATTCGGCTTAACTCGGTTTGATTTTTATTTTATCTATCATAAGAATTTTGAGGCAAATTTTAAAAACGAAGAAAAAAAAAATGAAATGGTGGAGCGTCCATTAAACATGACAGTTGATGATGAGTCACGGAAAGTTAGTTGGTGCAATTTGTTAAGATTATTTGGCTTCCTCACCCTAAGGATATCGTACGTGCTAACAATGAATTCACCAGTTGTAATGCGAAAGATGTTCATAGTTACTCCTCCTCTCATGTGCGGGATGCATGTGATGTGTTGTTTGTCACAGGCGCACAGTTTTCTCGAGTTCTAATTAAAAGTAATAATAATAAAAATATTTTGTTATATTTTATTTCATTATAAAATGTACTTTATTGCGCCAGTCTTTACGTTTAAATAAATAGTATATGTTTTTTTTTTTCGTTTTTAAAGAAAAGGAGTAGGAGGGAGCTCAGTGCTGAACTCGTTTAAGGGGCTTGGGTGAGTATGAACGTTCCCGTTAACAGGGGCGCAATACTTGCCCCGCCCCGGAAATTGCAACCAGGGCAGTGCAAAAAAAAACCCCCCCCCCCCCTTTTTACCCCCAGCTTAATCATTATTTATAATTTATTTAAAATTTATAGGGCCCCGTTGGCAACCCACGTCATCCGATACCTTTGCTGATAAATGTGCATTCAACACTATTCCTTTATCGTTGGGCCCCACAATTTTATTATCTGACCCTAATGACTAAACTAAAATCGTTTGATATCTTGCTGTTGATTTTTTTTTTTTTTTTATTTGAAAGTGCATCTTAACATGGACGTGTAATTTAAAATAGTCATTATATACTTCAAACCAAGTAACCAGAGGTGAACTGAGAAGTGGGAAGTAAAACAAGCAACATAGGATACCCCAAGAGATCAATAAGCAGGTTGTGTTGGGGGGGGGGGCTGAGGGGGGGGGTGGATTTAAATGTGCCATCGACCCCCGTGAAGGACACCGTATCACAACCAATCTATCGAGCAAACTGCTCTGCACATATTCAGCAGTGCTGAACGTAAAATAGTCATTATATACTTCAAACCAAGTAACCAGAGGTGAACTGAGAAGTGGGAAGTAAAACAAGCAACATAGGATACCCCAAGAGATCAATAAGCAGGTTGTGTTGGGGGGGGGGCTGAGGGGGGTGGTGGATTTAAATGTGCCATCGACCCCCGTGAAGGACACCGTATCACAACCAATCTATCGAGCAAACTGCTCTGCACATATTCAGCAGTGCTGAACGCCTTTTTTGGTCCCGTATGTCGTTCTATAGATAATCAATAATTAACCGAAAGAACAACTGAACATAAACACATTTAATTGACCGCGCGACGTTGTGTATTCTGTATCTCATGCGTTGTCACAGTTGGCTGCAGGTCTAAAGGAAAGATGGACACGGTCCTTGGTGCTGCTGAAAGACGATGTCGCAATTTAACCTTTGCGCACGCATCTTGACAAACATGCGCACGCATCTTGACAAACATGCAACGATCTCGACACCTATCCGTTGTCAGTTAATTTAATACCCGTTAGTTCCCGGACAAGATCCCGGGATATTTTTATGAGCTGAAACTGGGATCCCGATTTAGAAACTTATTCCAAACGTTAGACCTACGCTTATTGATAGGCTCTATTGGACAAAGGCATTCACCTGCCTTTTTGTGTCCCCGTCCCCCCTCTTTTCTGTTCTGCCACTAGCTACATTCTGTGCTGATAAGCTGGTACAGGTTTCTCACTGTGACGCCCTACGTTTAATAGTTCTTACGCGTAAGCCTATAAATAAGCAAGCCCGCATCGTCATGCATGCGCCGTGACGTCAGTGCGTTAAAAACGACATTAAAGTAATTGATTTCATCCGGTAGAGTAGCACGCTGCAGAATTGTCTTTAACCTCTTAGTTTATCTCACTGGCACAATCAAAGAATTTAGAATGGTATATTTATCAACATCTGCTGTTGTCCCCCCCCCCCACCCCCCCCCAACCGCAATTTCCACGTGCCTTACTATTTATTGGCTTTGTTTTTTTAAACGTGTGACGGAATAGAGATGTTATGACGCAACCTGAAAATCTATCACACGCCCAAACATAAAATTCTGGTTTACCAAACATTGCCACGGTGTGTAAAAATAAACATGTCGATTGGCCTAGGCCTGTGATTAAACATAAATGTCTTTCGAACTCAGCAATCCGTAAAAAAACGGAGAATGGAACCCGTAGAAGACTTACGTGAAACTAAGAATACCAACATGTTTACACGACTAGGTTACTTTAATGGGACCTGGATAGTGTATGGAACCAGGTGTACCAACATGTGTACACGATTATGTTACTGTAATGGGACCTGGATAATGCATGAAACCAGGAATACCAACATGTGTACACGACTAGGTTACTGTAATGGGACGTGGATAATGTATGGAACCAGGTATACCAACACGTGTACACGACTAGGTTACTGTAATTGGTCCTGGATAGTGTATGGAACCAGGAATACTAACATGTGTACACGACTAGGTTACTGTAATGGGACCTGGATAATGTATGAAACCAGGAATACCAACATGTGTTCACGATTAGGTTTCTATGATGGACGTCTTTAAGACTCGTTTGAAACTAGGAGAAAACAAATAATGTTCTTAAAGACTTTCTTTGTGTTTTTCTTTTTCTGAACATTATTTTCTAACCTTCAGAGCAGAGGTGTCAAACTCAATCGCTCAGCGGGCCAAAACTCAAATCACGCGTAAGCCTTTCTAAAACATTAATATTAATATATATTAAAACTGAAAAATTGTAATAATACAAATATAAAAAAAAAAACCAGTGGCATACTCATTTTCACTCTGTCAGTTTTTCTAAGCTGGATGTTTGGCATATTTTCTTCGCTACAAGTTCTTTCAAGTTGGGATTAATATTCTGTGTCATTGAAATTCCCATGATGGGCTGCAAGTGTTCATCAGTGAGACGACTCATGTGTGATGTTTTTGTTCATCTTCACCACAGAAAATAGCTGTTCACACAGATATGTTCAATCAAACATACCGTACTTAAAGTTCAAGCCGCATGTAGACGAACCTGGGGCATCTTTTCAGGAATGAAACTAGTGATCTGTGCAGGCCTCAAAGTTGTCGTACTCTGCCTTTAGTGTCCCATTACGCTGCAGCTCTATTAGCTCCTTCTGCAAATTGAAAAGGGGCAGTTTCCACGTCTATGAAAAATAGGTTACTGTAACGACGAAACATCCACTTACTGCACAACTTTTATTTTCGCTTACTCTGATCGAAGCGAGAACGCTCACAGGTAGCCTGTCGATCGACAAGGGCGCTAAATTAGGGAATTTCATTTGCGCTTTATATTGCAGGGACATTAAAAATAATTTTGCCTAAAATTCTCTCTCGGGTCGGATATAATTATATGCCGGGCTGGATGTGGCCCAGGGACCTTGAGTTTGGCACATATGCTTTAGTGCGTTTAAACTCGTCTACCTTAAATTTATACTCGTCTATATATATATATATATATATATATATATATATATATATATATATATATATATATATATATATATATATATATATATATACACACACATACATATATATAGATAGACANTGCTAAGGATGGGAAAGTCATCATTTTTAATTAGCCAGTTCATGACAATTTTTTTTTTTTTAACATTTCCTCTTAGAATCTAGATAATTTGACATTTAATTAGCCACACTTTAAATGTCTGTGTTAATGCTTCGAGATTAAAAAAAGTTAAATCCGTATGATCCTTTCTCAGGATGATGTTTGGTTTTTTGTATTTGGGTAGTCAGTTATTTAATTCTAACGTGTTTTTTTTTTTGTTACTATAAATATGTAATTTGATTTTGAATGTGGATTGCAATGGTAAAATGTTTTAAGCATGAATCGTGACACTCGTGTTGTTGATCATTGCAGCCAGGAAAGCTTGTCTCTGAAGAGTATCAGTTTTTATTTTAAATAATGTTTTTTTGGGGGGAGCTTCAAATTGATAATAAATTTTTGAATTGAAAATAATGGTAATAAATAGATTTAAAAAAAAAAAAAAAGAAGAAACAAAAACAAAGGAAGAAACTAAATCCCGTGTGCTGCAAAGAAGACGACCATTCAGCACAACCACAACAGATGAAGCGGCAACTTTCATGGGCTTTTTGCCATGTGTTGGAATTTCTAACAAAATATAAACCTGATGTCTACACTCTAGCATGTCTTGCTTGACTTTCTGTGTGCCTAAAACTAACTATTATTATAAGGGCGATAAACTACTATAGACTGAAGGGTAACCCATCTCAACCAAGCATCGGTCTATGGTTTGCTAAATCCACATGTTCCCTAAGTTAACAATAGGAATAAGCAGACACTAATGCTCAGTGCCGATGGTTAGTTACCGCAAATAGTGTCCTATCTTAAAATATTGGAATCTGTTTTTGGTTTATGATGAAACCGAAAAGGCAGCTTTGGTCTCTCTATAGACCACGTTGACAATCTGTATAATGGGTAATTATTTTCATTGCTAATGCTCCCTCAATTCAGATCCCTGACCCCGTCATTTCCTGTTACGTTGAGAATCCCTCCCAAGAAACCTTTGTACCATCGACTTGCGTCAACCGACGAGCGCTTAGAAGCAGGAAGTGAGCCAGTCATCGTGTGACAAACCAGGCAATCGTGTTCATGAAATCGGCCGGAGAACGTCTTGGCTTAAATCTTAACCGGGCAGCTCGGCCCGTCTTCACCTTAAAACGAGCGGGCTTTGTCTCACTGATTCCCCCTTCCTTTCTCGCAATATCGAAAAGTTTTCCCCCTCACACTGCTGGTTTTCAAGGTAATTTTTAGTGCTTCGTTCGCACGTTGAAAAAAAAAATGGACTCGGTAGTGAAAATGAGGTTTATGGCCGGGCTTGAAGGAGAAGTAGACCAGACCTGCAGGTGCACTCAAGGCCCGTTCACTGAACTATTTATTGCATTCACAAGCTCGAGCACGTATTGTCTTACAATGACATTAAAAAAAAAAAAAAAAAAAAAAAAAAAAAAAAAAAAAAATTTTTTTTTTTTTTTTTTTTTTTTTTTTTTGCCCGGTTGGAAAGAATCGATAATAAAAATAATGAATGTCAATTTGATATTTTATATACGACACTGGTGTAGACATGACTGGACTGTTCAAGGAAAGGGGCACCTTGTGTGCATGCATTCTTGTTTGGGGATCAACGTACGATATATAGACTATACTGTTTGCAAGTACACTTGTTGTAATTTTCACCTTGCCGGGGCATCTCTGCACATGCACCCGCATCACTTTTCTAGATTTAAAGTTACGTTATACTTAGGCTCGAGATCTGTCTACATAAATCAACATTAATACGCCCATCTGTCCCCGGTCATTCAAATGTGTTGAGTCTAAAAAATGCTCTCACTCTCTCGGCTCCCTTTATCCATCTACATAAACACTCCATTGTGCTTTTTAAAATTACGAACAAATACCTTAATAACTAAATCAAACGCACTGTTCAGTCTGGGTGTTGGGTTTAAACGCATAATAATAAAAAAAGGGGGGGGGGAACACGAATAAAGCACAATAGATTTTTTAAGGACAATCTATATGACATGGATTAACACCATTGTCGCAGGTTCCTTAAAGGTGATCGAGAAAGTTTTTTTTTGTGCAGTGTGATTGGGTAAGTGGTGGGGGGGGGGTCGCAGACTGAACTGTTAACTTTTTAAATCGCATTTTTAAAATATCTTTTTGATCTGTCATGTTTTATCCCATTAAGAAGTCTTTACAAAAAGTTTTTCGTAAAAATCTTTTTTTATAAAATATAATATCGAGCAAGGGGGCGCTGAATATTATTTGATAAAAGGATGCATTCAAGTAAGCGCACGTTATAAGAATCCCAATTAGGGCCCCCAGGCTCGCCACTGCAATCTTTTCACGCCCCTGAACTATGTTAATATTCGAATGTCACACCCGCTTTTACACCGCATATTTATTACACCAACTATCTCCGTAAAACAAAAGAAAAATAATACGCATCAAACGCCATGTTTTTAAGAACACGTGTTGTCATCAGCAACACGTCTATGTGCCAAGTTTTAGTTCGATAGGTTGACAGGATGTGGGTCAATTAGCTCTCCGAAGATTTTGGCACAAACCCAGAAAGAAATACACGGTCTAAAGCGAAGCTAACGGATAAAAAAAAACCCAACAACAACAAACTATCGGGATCTCGGTTACAGATCAAATAGGTTAGGGAATGTGTGCAGTGTGCGGTATGGTTACTGGCCGTCCGTAATATAAACATATAATGTCTTGTCTGTAAAAGACCATACGAACTTCAAGATGTCTGTAAAAAAAGAAGGGGACAAAAAAAAAACAAAAAAAAAGCCTTTGAAATGAAAACACCTGGAATTTTTAAGCGTTTGTGATTCAAGTGTGCCTGATGTTAAATTTATGATCATAAGAAGAGCACGTTAAGCGCTGATGAAAATGTCATTCAATAAACGCTATATATAGGCTTTAGCGTCATGAGTGTGTTGTTAATGCTCATGATAGAGACGTCATACGCGATAAAAATTGTAATTTTTGTTACCTGAACAGGTCTGAGAAATTTATACTAAAAATAAGTGGTCTGTAAGAATGGTGCCATTTTAAAATGTAGGGTTGCCACGTTTTAAAATGTATGTGGCAACCCTGCAATGGTGAGACACTGGTACAGCTCTTGAGATTTCGACTGACACAAGCAAACATTCGCGAAATATGGATCAATAAAAAAGAAATACCCTGATAGATATTGTCTTTCCCTCCCCCCCGTATGTTAATTTTATTTGTGACGAATTTAATTAGCAAAAACAAAATTAGTAACATTATCCATTTAATTACATATAAATAAACTGGAAACCGTTAAATATGGCATATACAAATCTTATACAAACTTAAAGGTGCGAGAGTTCCTAGAGAATTCTTCTAATGCAGCGTTTCTCAACCTGTGGGTCGCGACCCCTTTGGGGGTCGAAAGACCTTTTTCCAAGGGTCGCCTAAGACCATCGTAAAATACATATGCTCTACAGTTATGAAGTAGCAACAAAAATAATTTTGTGGTTGGGGGTCGCCACAACATGGGAAACTGTATTAAAGGGTCGCGGCATTAGGAAGGTTGAGAACCACTGTTCTAATGTAAACCAACCGTGATATCCGACTCGTGATGTGTATGGACCAACGAAAATATTTAATAAGTCGCTGGCCTAACACAATTTAAACAACACTCGTTGACTGTCTTGAAAATATCCCCTTTGTGACAGTTTCTATGTTTTTTAGTCGTATTAATAAATAATAATTCATGACATTGGAGAGGCGTTTGAACTATTTCAAATAATAAAACGTTGACAGACAGGGCTGCGTAATCCCCTATATTTTCAAAGAAGGAGACACCGGGATGCTCCTGCAAAATGAACGCCTTGGCCGAAATCATCAGGGATTTCCTTTTTTAGAAACGACTCACAAAGCTGGATCAGAAGCTGGTATGCTACGCATTTTTTTTTTTTTTGAACTTCTTTAATATTTTAACAAGTTTCGCTTACCATAATGCGAAAAAGAAATCTTTGGAAGCTTAAATTTGGTCTTATTACTCTGGAAATGCGATAAACTTTTGTGTCAGCAATTAGGAACACACTCTGCTCGACTGTGTGTGTTTGTGTATGACTGGATCAGTCAAGCCTGGGTAAAAACTCTACGACACCCCATGTATAAAAGATTGGAACCTCGCGGCTGCCTGAAATTCACCGATCTCAAAGTTGGATCCCTCTCCCGTTTTTTAAAAAAAAAAAAGCTTTCCTTAACTGTACCCAAGGCAAGTTGCATCATTGATCCCACGTACGAATTTTAGGATCGGGGTATTTTTCTTAGAGTCTTTTTGGTTAGCGTTCTAGAATCAGTGTCTTTTGGTTTTATAGTTCTAGAATCAGTGTCTTTTTGTAAGGAGTTCTAGAATCAGTGTCTTTTTGTAAGGGGTTCTAGAATCAGTGTCTTTTGGTTTAGAGGTCTAGAATCAGCGTCTTTTTCCTAGATTTCCAGTATACGTGTCTTTTTGCCAAGAGTTCGTTTTTAATAGTGAAATGTGGGAATTAAAAACAAAAACGTCATCATTCACTGACTAAAACAATCATTCTACGGCGTCAGATGTTGGAGTCTTGACTCAAATGTCGATATTTGGTTCTTTGCAGCACTTAATATATACACCGTACGTTAGCATTGATCGAACAAGATTACATACGTTGGTTTTATAGTTGTTTTCTTGTGTTCAGTGGTTCCCATTTTTTTCACCTCATTTCACAGAGGCTGGCATGTTTATAAATATAGATATATGAATGTAATTTATTTTACTGTCCACCGTACCCAAACTATTAAATCCACACTGAATCACGGCAAAAAATGCTTTTTTGAAAAGTCCTGGTGTCTTCAGGGATTTCCTGAAACAACCAATAAACCAAGCGCACTCAAGTGATCCTCACCTAATCCATTGCAAACAAGTAACCACGTTAAGAACATGGAAAAAAAATGCTAGTCCACTGAATATTTTCAGCCCCCTCTTATTGTCCTTTTTAAAAAAAAATGTGTCTCCCCCCCCCCCCCCCACCCCCCTTTTTAAAAAAAAAGTGTTCCCCCCCCCCCCCCGACTACCCTGATTATACCCCCTCCCCGATCTGTCCAACACCCTCTTTGGACGTTCTAATACGCCCCGTTGAGCATGTTTCTTGATAACATTTTCCCGATTTAACCCTTGCTCACCTGGCCTCATAGCATTTTGTGTTCGCCATTCTTAAATTAATATCATCAGGACTTTTACATGTTTTGGTCGGCCGTGACATTATCCATGAATATTTGATAGAAAATCACCCATAAACCCGACAGCTGTTTGGATATTTCCCCACTAGATTTAATGGAAGGCTGTGTCCAAAATGACTGCATATTTAATGAGGCCGGGACTTTTGAATTCTTCTATCGCGGCGCAATTATTTACGTGTAGTGCTGTCATTGACGTAATAGGTTAGGGATAGCTGTTTGCACAACGGAACTATTAAAATTCATTTGAAATATCATGTATCAGTAGGCGATCCAGGGGGGGGGGATATAATGACAGGGAAAATAATTGCATATAAGAGTGCGTGTGTTCACATGTTTTTATGTTAATGTAATTCGTCATACTCCCATGCAGCAATCTTTGTCTGTCTTTTCTTTACCGTGATGTTTACCATCTCAGAGAGGGTGGTGGAGTCACTGGAGATCGAAGAGGCGCGCACTCTATAGAACAAATGATTGAAGACTTTCTCCTTAAAGTAAGGTGTCTTGACAAAGTACTATAAGCAACTAGTATTTAAATATGTTAAGCCTTTTTTTATGATTAGACAATATACAAATTCAAACTTTTAGGAAAATAACTTCATAAGCACAACAAAAAAATTAATATACTTATACGTTAAATTTACATAATAGATTATGTATATCCTACCTATTCCAAAAAAAAATAATAAAAGAATAAGAATGAGCACAAGTCCCTAACGTGTACATTTAATTCATAATTATATTTATTTTGTTGCTCAACTGATGAAGGTATGTGCTGAAATATTTGAATGTTATGTTGTCTAATCATATATAAAAGTAAAAATTTGTGGATTTGTTTGTTTTTGTCTTTGTTCCACAAATGCTTTTACATGGATGGAGGGATCTTGACCAAATTTTGTTTGCACATATCTCCATCATTTTCCGGAAGGAACTCTTAAAGGGTTATATTAAGTTATAAACTTTTTATAACATTCCGTTTGGGACCGTGGGCCACGAATTCGTTTTTTTTTTTTCTTATATGAGTTATATAAATAAAATGACCAACAAATACTCCTACATGAATAGATAAATCTTGACCAAACTTAGTACACACGCACTTGATTATCCATATTAAAAAAACGAAGGGTACTGAACTCATAATATCCATTCCTCTGGGTCCCGGGGCCCTGTTTTATTTGGCCTTATATAAGCTATTTAAATATATCAATGGCTTAGAAAACACGATATTTTTATGTCAGTGGCTCTTAACCTTTTTGGAGGTACCGAACCCCACCAGTTTCTTATGCGCATTCACCGAAACCTTCTTAATAGGAAAAATAAAATATATTTGTTTTTTCCTGATTTTTTTTGGACCTCCGCCGAACCCCTGAGACTGACTCACCGAACCCCTGGGGTTCGATCGAACCCAGGTTAAGAACCACTGTTCTATGTGAATTGATGGATCTAGGCTTAGCTTGGTAGCATTACAATTCATTGTTCGTATAGAAATATCGGTGGATTTAAAACTATTAATATTAATATCCAATCTAGAATTTTCCAGAAATTTCGATAATTTAACAAAAAAGCTATGTCTATGGTGTTTTTAAACCGATTTAAATGGGACAGCTTTTAAATTTTAACTTTATTATTTATCTTAATAATTTTTATGGAGCCCCCTATCTGAGGCACAGCTAAATCGGTACAATTATGAAATGGGCCCCCCCCCACCCTCGGGGCCCCTCTTTCAACAAAATTGTACCATAGTGATTGTAATGCATTAACTTGTAGAATTTTTCGTATTCGCAAAGTAATTAATTAGAAAAGTACTTTTTCACACGTTTCGAGGAGGATATTAAATTTAAACTAGAATGTTCCACAAAGTTCTATATTGTTCTAAGGGGATATATAATGGGATCTAAAAGCTTATTAAAATGTTAATTTGGCTCTATTCATTTCTATATGTTCATGTGGATTATCTTTAAAAATACCCTTCATAATCCTACGGGGAACTGGAACCCACCGATAACGCAATCACATCGGGTCACGGGATAAAAGTGGGATCGGGATCCTATCGGGTAACGGGATCCCGTCAGAGAAGAGGATCCCATCGGGAAACGGGATACTAACGGGATCCCACCGGGATTGGGATCCTACCGGGATCGGGAACCCACGGGTATCGGGATCCCACTGGGATCGATTTACCTCTGGGTTCAGAATGCGGACGGGATAGGGATCCACCGGAATTGGGAACTAGATGGATCAGAATCCCACCGGGAATCGGGATCCTAAACGGGATCCGGATACTAACGAGATCTGGATACCAACGGGATCGGTATACCCATGGCATCGGAACCCAATCGGTATTGAGCGGGATCGGGATCCCATCGGGGTCCAACTGGGATTGGGATCCAATCGGGAAACTCAAACCTATCGGGATCACACCGGGATCAGGCACCCAACGGGATTGGTATATAAATCGGGATCGTAAACCCACAAGTATCGGGGATCACGCCGGGATCCCACTAAGATCGGGATATCACCGGGGTCGGACTACTTACGGGATCGTAATCCCACCGGAATTGGGATCCCGATTACCGTGATCGGGATCATACCGGGATTGGGATCCAAACGGCGTCGGGTCCTTACAGATACCGGGATACCATTGGAAAACGTCATCCCAGCGGGTATCGGGATCCGATTGGGATCTCTCTGGGATCGTTGGGGAACGAAAGTTTTACAAATTTATTATAAATGCGTTTTTATCGGAGACAAATGAATTATATCCTTTTTACTATAGGAAGTTTTTTTTTTTTTTCATTGTGCTTAATTTCAATGTTTATTAAAAGGCTGTAAAAGTTGGGGGTTTTTCGAATGCAATCCCGGGCAACGCCGGGTATATTGGCTAGTCATAAATAAAAATTAACATATATTGTTTTTATTTACATAAATTGTTATTGGTTACCGGAAATTTGATCGAAAGAAATTTACCGTCGACGAAATTTCTTTCGATCAAATTTCCTGATACGATTTTTATTGGTTAGTCATAAATAAAAATTAACATATACTGTTTTTATTTATATAAATTGTTTGTGTCTCATTAATCTGTCACACAAGGGTTGGTTATCGCTCGCCGTTAAAGGGAGAGGAGGTTATAATGTGATAATTCTAGAACTATCTAAGATGTAAATCTAGACTATCTTTATCTGCAATGTAAATCTAGCCTATCTTTATCTGCGATGTAAATATAGCCTATCACTATCTACGATGTAAATCTAGCCTATCACTATCTGCGATGTAAATCTAGCATACCTAGATAATTTTGTTTACGGTGACACGTCGCCTCAGAATCCGGAAATTAATTTTCGCGTGGCTTAAAATGTTTTAATCGCCAGCTTATTTAAAGTTGACGCTTTCAAAACAGGATGAACATGTTCGTCACCAGCATCAAAGGCCACTGATTAAGGTGGCATGTGAACCAATTTATGATGTAGCGCCCAAGTCTGAGGGAGAGAAGCCCTTACTGCTCCCCTGTACTTTTCCCCACAAACACCCCGTGTCATTGTTGGTTTGCTGCCACTGTGGGCAGCACCACTCCTCCCTCTCGTGTCCACCCTTATACCCCTCGCTACATCTCCTTGTTCAATATTGATTTGTCAAAGCCGCCCTGGTTCCTACACAGTGTGAACAGAGCTCATCGTGGACAGTCTTCGGTACGCTTTAAGAGGGGAAAAGAGGGGGACCTTTGGGGGTGAAGGTACAAGCCGGGAGGGCCATCACACAACATTGGAGGACGACAGATGGTGATGTTATATTAGATGGTTGACAGATATGCTCCCCTAACGGTTTTGGTAGGGGTATTTTATACAACTCAGAATTTATCAGAAAGCCACTATAAATTGAACACCGTATTACAGTCGTCAGCCTTGAACGTATTCATAAAATACATTTATGATGACTGTTTATTTCCAAGAATAATGGATACCTATAAACAAAGAAAAGGCAGACAAAATTGACTTTGTAATGGTATTAAATCACAACACTTGTGGCTGTTTTATGTACCGGTATCTTGTTATAGTATTTGGGGTATTGCAGTATCGGATTACAATAAAGGGATGTTAAGGTTACATCAGGCAACAGTACAAGAGAATGAGGATGTCATGGCTATGTCAGACAGATGACTGGGTGGCCGGGTGGTCTAAACTGAGTCAATGGCAAGCTCGTGGACTGGAGCTCAATCCCCAGCAAAATCTTAGACCAAAAACAACAACAACAAAAAATTAAAAATAACACCACCACCCTGGGTGAATGGGACTCGTTAACCTTCTAAGAGAAGGCAAACTCTGAGATGGAGTTCCGCAGGCGGCATGACGCAATGAAAATTGGAACACCTCCAATGACGTGGAACGCATAAACAGCACATTCTTGTGAGACACAAGAAACACTGCTGGCAATCTACTGCATCCTAGTCTATTTCCAGTCGTCTTGGACTACGTATTGCCATTGAAAACAATGGGCAAGGACGAGAGAGTGAGGCTGACGAATTGAGCGACTCTCTCTCAATATTAATAACATACAGCTTAAGTCAAGACTACCACTCAATTTGATGCCATTGTTGTATCAGATGTCCCCATAAATATCCGAGAACCCCTGCAGTAGCTGTCTTTGTAGGGCCCACTTAACGGTTCTGATGGTACAAAGACTCGATCATCTTTAAAGACACATTTTTAAATGCATTATTTAAAAAAAAACAAAGAATGAGTCTCTTATTTAGACTTTATTTTCCTGTTCCAAGAAACACTTAATAATATTTCAGTTATTTGTTGCCCATCCGTGAACCATCAGTTTGAGTAACAATTGTCTATCGACGCATGATGTAGCTTCATTTATGCTGCTGTTGCAGGAGAAATCGTCAAAGAAAATGTGAATGTTCCTCCCAATCCCACTGTCATTTTATCTTTAGGACCTACTACAGATGGCCCGTTCTAACCTTTACAAAGAAATGTGTATTTAAAAAATTGCATTTGGATTTTGTAAAAGCCTTTACATAAACGATCACAATGGTTTTTTTATGTATATGAATGGACAATAAAATCGCGTGGAGCGTTCATGATAAAACGAAAATAGACAATTATTAACAAAAAGCTATAATCTTTTCGTTAGTCATGGGTAAAATTGGTAAATATATTTCCTCGAGACTGACGAACAGTCAAATAAAAGAACACGAAACCAAGACATAATATTGTTTAAGAATGTAGACATGTTACTGGCCCGAGGTTCTCATGTCAATGACATGCTTTGGTTTGCCTTGTGTGTTACGATAGTGACTTGTTTAGTGTGTTACCTTGGAGATGACATACTTACCCCAAAAGGAGTTGAGTTTAATCATGTTCCTAGATTAGACGATTCGATCAATTGCTTGTATAATATATTTATTTTCTCATCTAATGTAGATTATTCTAATTTCATAGGACTGACTTCTTATTAGTAGCTTTGATGCACTTCATATTTTAAAAAAAATTATTATTTTGTCCCTAGGCGACAGGCTTCATGGAACTAGCAGTCCCCTATTCCAGCATAGAGGATGTACACACCGTTTCCAGATGGGACGCGGGGCAAAAGTTCTGTCTACGCATAACAATACAGGATGGCTCCGTACTCTTGCAAGTAAGTCATATATTGGCATTTGGAAGTCAAAGTCCAAACACTTGATGACTTTTAGTGTCTTTCATATATCACTATATGAAACCCAGCTTTTCCCCAGTTGCGGCACACTGTGTATTATCACCAGACGAAACTTGCCTGAGCAAATTTACCAGTGGGTTTATCGTGCACTCGACAGTTTCTAAAAGTAACGGCATGCATGCAAGAAACCTCGTTTTCCCACTGAGGGAATCGGCAGGTTAGGATAATTTCGGAAACTTCAAGAATTACCTTATCCCCACAAATTATGGACAGACAGACTTAACCTTGTGAAAAGCAAAACATTTTTTTTTCTTTTGTTCAGTAGACTGCAAATGAACGTACATGTCATTTCCTTACTTAAGTTGGGTATTTCATTTGAGGTTTTGAGAGTGGACTGTAGATGGGTCATTCGAGTTTTAATAAATTTTTATATATATATATAAAAAGTCATCAATCTTGTAAGTCATCTCCGTAATAGTGCGCAAGATAAGCAGTGTCCCGTCTCAAAACACTTCAACAGAAGCGACCACAAGGGTTCAGAGGATTTTGCTATCACCGCCATTGTGTCTTGTACAAACACACCCAAACGAGTTAGTTTGGAAAACAAGCTGATTCAGACTTATGAAACATTGACACCACATAGCATGAATGTCATGCTCTCATACCCCTCCTCGTTACGACCAACCGCAGTCGACTTACTTTTCCTCTCTTCTGTCCCATTTCGCCTGTATTTTACTCTCTCACCTATCTATGTTCTGTCACATTCCTCTTGCCGTCCTCTCGGATACCACATTGTAGCTAATTATTATTTTACTTTGTTTTTCAGGTTTTCCCATACTTTGTTTTGCTTATTTCCTTATACCTAACCTGATTGCAATCTCTCCCCCCTTATTACCTCTTTTAATTAGTCTAGTCACCGTTTTTTTTAATCAGGCCAGTTACCAGCCTTGTAATCAGGCAAATCACTAATCTCGTCATCGGGAAAAGCACAAATTATGTAATTCAGGCTAGTGCCAAGTAAAAAAATACAGTGCGATGTAATCAGGCTAATGCTGTGTAATCAGGTTAGTGCCAGGTCGGCTGCCTGGAGCTCTTGGCGTAGCTTAATCGGGTAGTGCCTACAAGTGTAGAGTAATACACCGTTTACAAAATGTGATATATGGACATCAATTAACACCGCACCGAAGTGGAGTGCAATAATCATTGTGGCACTTAACTTAGCACGCACATCAAGTATCACTCTTAGAGACCTAAATAGGCCATTCAGACCTGCAAATGGACCTGATGCCATGAGGCAGTGGAGTAGGGTGGGTGGTCAAGAGCAGGGCAATTATCCCCCCCCCCCCAACCATGAACTGTTAGCATCTCATGTGAACCGTTCATCTGTTTTTATTATTATTATTCCCTTACACCTAAAGCACGTTCTTTTAAAAAGAAGACATTCGGTTGTATTAAAAGTAAAATCTATTCAATGCCAGTGCATTATAAAATATTCAAAACAACTTGTTATAAAACGTATGCACATTTTCATTAATAATGCGGATATCAGCAGTGACTTTTCTCTGAATGGACAGTGGCCTATTTATTTCCTCCTCAGGGCTTCTGATGACTTATTGGTGATCACAAATATATTTTGATTCATTGCGAGTTTTAGGTTTTTTGGTTTTTCTCTCCCCTTCCCCCCCCTCCCCCCCCAAAAAAAAAACAAAAACAAAAAAAAACACCATACTCTTGGTTGAAACAATCACCTCTCAGTATCCGCGCACAGCTTTTTATTTCCTCCTCAGGGCTTCTGATGACTTATTGGTGATCACAAATATATTTTGATTCATTGCGAGTTTTAGGTTTTTTGGTTTTTCTCTCCCCTCCCCCCCCCTCCCCCCCCAAAAAAAAAACAAAAACAAAAAAAAACACCATACTCTTGGTTGAAACAATCACCTCTCAGTATCCGCGCACAGCTTAGCAAACTCTTTTGAAGCTCCCCATTTATCCACCCCGCAGAGCAAGTCTAAAGATTTCTTGTTCACCATCTGCTAATAAGGGTTGGAATTTCTCAAACAAGACAATGTTGCGCCCAAGGCGTTTTTCGTCCGGTGGCCGTGGTTGCAGCTTAGACCTCTGTTTCCTATGAAACGTTCTCTGAAGTTGATTATTGAGGAAATCATTCCTTGTAACATAATATTTACGAATACTTAACGTTTATAAAGCCAATGAATATGATGTTTCATGTCCAGGGATTGATTTTAAGTTGCGACATCCTATACACTTTATTGAATGTCACAGATTGAATTATTTACATTTTTATAAATCCACCCCCTTGTTTTCACCCGTTCTATAAAATTCCCGTGCTGATGGGGTAACTGCCTCGAGGTTGAAAGTCGCTGTCGTAGACATGTGAAACAAAATCTATAAGCCTTATATTCCTTGTATACGAATTTCGTCCACCTATAAATATATTTATGGTTTTTCTTTGTTTTCAAATAAAATATTTGTGGATAGAAAATAATGTATGCTACGCTGCCCTGGGCGACACGATGGCTTTCAATACGTGTTAAAAAATTAACACACTACGGCAGCTAATCGTTTTGATTTTGTATTCCCACAAATGTCAAATATCCATGAATGGCTGATTACGCCCATGGGACTCGGCATTCAGAAACTGCACTGATGCAAGCCTGTTTTTTTGTGTCTGAGGGATTAGTCATCTGTACTCGTTACGTCGTGATATGCTGCAAGTAGTATAATATAAAGGATTAGTCATCTGTACTCGTTATGTCATGCTATGCTGCAAGTAGTATAATATAAAGGATTTTCATTTGTACTCGTTATGTTAAGATGTGTTACAAATAGGATTGGTCATCTGTACTCGATATGTTGGGATCTGCTGCAAGTTGTATAATATATTTTACAGTGATCACATCAGTCATTATTATTTGGGGGACGGGGGGAAGCGCATTGGTGTTTCAGTTTGTTTTAATTAGTAGTATTGCAGCATGATGTATACGGTAATACAGAAGTTGTGACCAGACGTTACAGGAGCTAAAATTTCCAATCTTTGTATCCCAACCACTATCTCGAAAGGCGTAGACTATTGAGCGAAAGCAAGAACTAGACTTTGAGTGTACTTAAACGGTGGCTTTCGCTTTTCGTCACCTCGAAATATATAATATCATGGATGTCAGCAAAACGTTGGGTATGACAGACCCGAAATCTAATGTGTTTCATCCAAGATGTCTTAGAATCTAAGTTAGATCTGACCACGTTCATGTACGAAGAAGTAATAGAAAAGCCCGTTTTCTTTCATATAGTGCTATTTCCAAGGCACAAACTGCTCCGGCTACATAGCCAATGCCAAAATACACTGTAATCCCACCCTAAGGAAAGAGAAAACGTTGAAGACCCAGGAAGAGGCCTCGAAAATTGGGCACCAGGCTAATAGTATCGCTGAATACTAGGCGGTAGAAGTGGAGATCAATAATTGTCGTTACTTAATCAGTTTTTACATGGTAGCCAACGTGATGACAAAACATCTGACAATCGTTGTCAATTTTTTATATGGACAATTAGAACGGACAATTAAAGAAGTTGGTTATTCAATTAATTTTATTATTGTACACACGACATAAACGTTAAAAATAGATCTTAAAATGAATTTACATTGTTCATTGGAAGTCGCTGACGTCAACCGTTCTAACCCATCTACGACACAACTCACGCGACGGGGCATTGTATTGAGCCTCACTATTGAGCTGTTTCTGAGAGAGAAGAAGCTCTAGCAGCGTAAAGTACATCATTACCGACATTTCCGGTTAATGGACATATTTAATCCGACGCTGTCTTGTTATAGCGGTTTGGGTATCTATGCCATTTCCCTTCATGATTATACGTAAACAAATCCTTGCCAACTCTTTAAGTGGGGACAAGAAAAATAAAATTAAAAAAAAACATTCTCAGGGGCACACCAACTTGATTGTGGATGTGTTGAGGTTGTTATGTAAGACCCCAACCACGACATCCAAGGTGGTGTTTCTTTTCTTCTTTTTTTTTTTTTGAAATTGCAGATCAAAATAGGATGTCTTCTTTTAAAGTACATTTTTAACGAAATCCTAGATTTTAAAACAGTAATCACCAACACTGAACACTTTAATAAGGCGGCTAGAAGGTGGAGCCAACTTTTTTTATTATACCTCAATCTGTTGACATGTTGTCAATCTTTTGACATGTTGTCCAACTCCTTAGAGCTCAGATTTTTAAGAGCAGGTGTTCTTAACCTTTGTTTTTTCCCATGGATCCACTTTCCAGTCATTTGGAGGCCACGGAGCCCCTTTTAAAATAAAATTTTAAATACATGCACCCATAATAAAATTATAGAGAACATGCAGCTCATGAAGCCCCTGACACCTTTTCATTGACCCCCAAGCGGTTCCTGGACCAGGTGTTAAGAACTCTTGACTTCCGCTCGGATTAGTGGTCGGATAAAAAAAAATCACTAAAATAATGTATATCTGTTATTCACATTGCAGGCTTTATGTATGTGCGATATGGGCGGTTGCCTAGATCGGCATTTGTTCAAAGGGCGGAAAATTCCAGAAAAAAAAAATTTTTGAATATAAAAAAAAATGAATATAAGGCACCCCTCTCTCTCTCCCCATAATGTGATCAGTTCAGATAAGTGGAATGAATTTGTTTACAGATAAATCCCTTTAGGGGCAAGGATAAGGCAGATTCCCCCCCCCCCCCCCTCAAAAACTCTGCAGTTGGCCGACTTTCTCCATTCCCATATACGTCACAAATACAAAGCACTTAGTAACAGCTTCACAATAAATCTCATCACCATAAAACGCTCCTATTGAACAAATCATATTTCATTCATCTTCCTCTTAAAAAAACTGGAAAGACTGATTTTGGGTGTTGGTGGGGCTAAAAATTTGATAGAATGTATTGTCATCGACAACAGCTCCACGTAACAAGTTTCAGCTCGATAGGATGACGGGAAGTGGGTCATTTAGCCTTACGAAGATATTGCCAGAAATAGACGTACGAAAGCGAAGTTATTATAAAGGATTTTTTTAAAAATCGATTGAGTAATTGAATGCAAAAAAAAAAAAAAAACAAAAAAAACAAAAACAAAAAAAAAACAAAAAAAAACGCCTATACCTTCCATAATGATAGAACATATGAAGTTTTTCTTAAAGCAATTACAACAGCTAAATCATTAAAGAATTTTTTAAAAAAACGATTAAGAAATTAAAAAAAAAAAAAAAAAAAAAAACAAAAAAAACAAAAACAAAAAAAAAACAAAAAAAAACGCCTATACCTTCCATAATGATAGAACATATGAAGTTTTTCTTAAAGCAATTACAACAGCTAAATCATTGGCAGAACATATGGTTTCCATAAAGCATTTAAAACATCCACATCATTGGCAGAAGAAATGAAGGTTTCGATAAAGCAACTACATCTAAAGCTTGATAGTTCCCAAGAGAAAATTACAGCTAAGAAATCGACGAACATCAGGTCTTTGGCTAGTAGTACTATTTTGAGTGGGAAAAAACTTCAGCAACCACCACACAAAATTAACTTTTTGACCCCAATTTAGTAAATAGCCTTTTTATAGAGTGCGTCCTCCTTGTATATTTCAGATACACACAATGTATAAAATATTTAACTAACAAAAAACAAGACTAATTAAAATTTAAAAAAAATAAAAATCTGATTCACGACATCGGACTCGGCTTCTTATCCCTTTGTTTATTCGTTATTGAATTAATTTATTTACTAAAAAAACATCGCCTGTGTCGCTTTTCCAATGTATGACTGAGAAGTGTGAAATGAACGCTGTAGTCAGGAGAAGTGCCGCCACGACCCTGCCAGCTGTTTGACGTTGACCCAGACAACAACCTCGTAACTCGAGCCTGACATTGGTTTCAATGACTTCTTACCTAGCACGGCGCCCCAACTTCCGCGTTTATCCATTGTCTAGATAGTAGCCGACTTACTCGCTGGGTACTTGCTGAAATAACTTAATTACTTTGTGAAAGCAGGAATGGTTGTTGATTTTTTATTTTTTCAAGACAGGTTTCCTATTTTCATGTAGTGTTTTTTTAGGGCTCACAATAACTCGGTGCGTCTCAGTGAATCGACCATAGAACAGTTTCCAGTGAATTTCATAGTTGTTATCAAAGAAGTTTTCGCCAACATCGCACAGTTATTTAATAATCGTAATATTTTGTCCAAGTACAGAGGTCCTAACATGTGGTTCTCGGAAACGTTTGGGGTCCGTGAAAATGTGTCAGATCGTTCGTAAACTTCATCACCTTTGGGGCTGCAACCTATAGGTTGGGAACCATGGTTCTTTATCATGGTTCTCAACCTTCCAAATGCCGCGACCCTTAAATACAGTTCCTCACCTTGTGGCGATCCACAACCACAAAATTATTTTCGTTGATACTTAATAACTGTAGAGTTTATGTGTTTTCCATAGGTGAGAGAGAACCGCTGTTCTATATGAACCTACATATTCACTGAAATAGAATTTTTTGTGTGTTGTTTTGTGTGGGGGGGGGGGGGACTTTTACAAGACTAGGGTTTAGATTACTCGGAGCTTTTTCGACCTGACGCAGTTTTAAAAAAAAAATAGTTTCTTAAGTGGTCAAGTCCTGAATATTAAAAGTGCAGAAATGTCGTTCAGATACCAAAGTTCAGTGTCAATGTTACAGGTAAGTTTCTGTAATTGTACCCCTCTCGTTTGTAGAATATTTTCGACTGACTGGCACAACGTCTACCAAGGATTGAACTCGTTATATGTCTTTAGATATCTTTGTAATAGTGAGCTCGGATATCTTTTTTTGTTAGTGGCCTGTACACTTAACAAAAAAACGTAGGATGGCGTATTTGAAATGTCCCAATGTGCACTTTAGCTGCAACACCTTGCAATGTCATGAATAAAGTAGAAATTCTCCATCAGACTAACAGGACATTGTACGTGTTGCAGAAGTTTGTTTTTTTCTTTTTCTTTTTTTAACATCGACCAGGAAGTGAATTCATGTTGTTTATGATTCTGATGACGCGGTTCTCAGTCAGCTGTCGGGGAAGCTTTTTTGTGTGGATTGTTTAAGTTTTCGAAATAGAGTCCAGATTATGTTAACTGTGATATTCGATGAACTGGATCTCTGAAAAAATCTTCGTGTTTCATTTGCACCTTGTGGACAATGTGTCAGGGTTTGAGTACCTAGAGAACAATGGAACAGTATATTGCAATAACGAAAGAGAGAAACACACAGAGAGAGAGAGAGAGAGAGAGAGAGAGAGGTGTGGGGGATATATTTTGAACGCTGACTTCCATATAGACATCGGCCAACCCCAGTATCCCCTTCCGAGACCAGAACATTTAAAAGCAATGTATCGGATCTTTTCCTCTACGGACCAGAGTACTGGATGACCGCAAGAACTTCAGAGCGGAATCTTTAAATTTTCAAGACGGAGTGCTTGCGAATGATCAACGATGTGGATAAGATAAATTCCGTTGACGGACTGAGATGCCGACAAGGAGCGAAACAGAAACGATGCAAGCTGGTCGCTGGAGATGACGCGGTCATATCCTTAGCGTACCACCATAGTTTTCCTAAAATTGGCATCTACTTAAAATCTATCTATCTGTGTGTGTATACATCTCATTTAAGTACATAATGTGTACATAATATGGTTGTTTAAACGGTTTTTGGAGCGTTATTGTGTAGGCCGCATAGTTGGAGTGGGGGAGGGTTTTCAATCCTTGCCATGTCCAATTTAAGAAAATGACTGTCTTTATAATATATTTATATGTGTAATTTTGTATGAAATGAGAAACATAATTTATTAGTTCATCGACCTGACATCGCCGACAACCGTAGAGCTTCCATAACTGTTAACGCCAGTTCATCTTCACAAGAGATTTGGAGTGCTTTAAAATGAATACTTTTATAGTTGTTTAAAATGATTATTGTAAAATCTTTAGAATGTTCTCCAGGACATGTTTTTCCCCTCACTTTTTTTTCATTCAGTCTTCAAAATTAACATTACGTCTCCATATCCCTTCTTCTTCTATCCGCGTCGCCGGGAGATACTGTTGGCGATGCGCCGCAAGGTGTGAGGCCTGCTGGAGGTTCGTGTCGTGGATTTTGAGGGTGTCCTCAACACAGTCAACCCACCGCCGGCGTGTGCCCCTACCTCTGGCTCTGTACCACACCAAGTGATAAAAACAAGATCTGCTCTGATAGTTTTAGGAACTCCGTCAGTACTGAAGGGTTGGGGACGATTCGCCGCCGCACTTTCCCTGCCGGGCCGTTTCGTAGAGGGGCCGTCTTGCCGAAAACGATAAAGCATTATACAAAGGAGATAATTGAAATCCTTGGTACTATACAACTTAAACATTGGCTGGGATTTAAATATATTTTTACCCCCCCCCCCCCTTTTTTTTTCTTCCCATAACCAATGTATTTAAATTGTATTTTACATTTTCGAACTATTAATATTAAGAGAAACGAAAATTTTAAAGTATTAAAAACCTCGATATTCTTGACACAGCCCCCAATTTCAATATTAAGTAAAAATTGAACTTTACTGCTATAGAGGCCGGGGCCCCAATCAAAATATTAAATGTTGCAGCTTTCTCTTTCATCTTGTCCCTGATTTAGATCAAAAGACTCTTTTTCTTTAAAAAAAAAAAAAATTAAGAGTGGCTCTTTATCCAAAAGAAGGTTTCTGACGGGGCCCCAAATTAAAATGATAAATAAAAGAGTCATTTCGGAGCCTAGACTCTTATTTCCACCATAACTAGATTAACAAGGCCATTTCGCCCACGAAGGTATAGAATTTTATATATATATATATTTTTTTTTTTAAATATAAAGGTTACTATTTAAATACACATTTTATTTTAAGAACTCTGAACACTGAAAATGCATTTATTTATAAATTTGATTTTTACAAATGGTGTCAAGTGAGCTGTCTGGGGACGTGTTCTCTATCACGAGTTTGCTTGGAACTTGTCCTCTGTCACTGCTCAGTTTTGGAAAATCCCCCCAAATTTTCTGGTCAGGGTGAGGCAGCATGCATATACTCTGGGAGGATGGCTGGACCCAGATCATGACAGAAGTTAGAGTCGAAGAAGTCCTCAGGGAATACTGCCCTGGAATAAGCCGGGCGGATATGTTTTACCTTCCCTCCCAAGACAACCTCTTGAAAGAGTCCAGGAGAAATGCAATACAAACTTCTTTTCACTCATGGAAATAGAAGTTTGGGTGGGGGGGGGGAGTCTTGTATCCTGTCTAAAGTACACAACAGAAAAATAAAGTCAAACAGATTAATTATTTAAAAGGGAAGCGTTATGGCGTGGTGATAAAAATCAATAAACTTAAACATTAACGAGACATTCAAAATGGTAAAAGTTGGGGCGGTTTCGGATTTTCAGGAGCAGCTGGAGAGATGCCATTTAAACATGTAGGTGTGACTTGACCTCAGAGCCATCGTGTGGGCCCTGGAATCTATACGCTGCAGGGGGCCTCGGCTATTTTTGGGGCTCAAAGTTGTGATGTGGACACTATTTAATCATCAACTGTAAATGCGATGTGGGGTGGGGGTTGGGGGGGGCATAAAAACCGAAAAGTCAATCTATTCCTCCGATGGCAGCCGGTTGATGACGTCGTTGAGGATTCTAGTCTTTACGCGCATGTAAAGACCCGACTGGAGTTTGATAATTTAATTTGAACTTAAATTGTCCTGCTGTCATAATAAAATATGTTATCCCTTTTGAAAATTAGCTCTCACGTATGCAGCATTGCAATTAAATAGTTATCGATATTTTAAATAAATAAACTAATTGACATCATTTGGTCTCAGGCTATATATGCATATAGCCGTGTTGCAGCTTTTACTGCAGATATAGAAATTATTACATACCTGACAAACAATAGTTTGTTATCTCAGTCAGAATTTGTTGTTAAAAAAGCAACTTTGTAACACACATTGTAATTTGAAGAACAATATGATTAAACAAAAAGTATATCAATCTTTCTAAATATTTTGAGAATTAAACACAAGTCCGCTTGCATTTTCGTGAGTATGCAATGAAATCACGACTTACCTTGTAAAAATCAATAAAAATTATTCAAACTGTCATCGGATTCTCAATATCTTTGTAAATTGAGAGTTTGCATTATGTCTTGTCCTCTGAACTTTTAAAAAATAATTATTAATTAATGCCATCTAATGTCCATTAATAAATGTTTCTATGGTAGGGTGGTCACCTGTAAGTTCGCATTTCAATTTTCCCTGAGCTGCCTCTGCATAATCATTGGTCCATTCTTGTTGATTTAATGTCCTTTGGCGTACTAGCCACATTTTAGCGAAAGAAAGTCCAGGTCGGCGTCCATTGCCTAGTCTATGAGGATTACCAATACAATTATCTTCAAACCAGTTGAAAGCTGATTAAGATTCTAAGGAATTTCTCGAGACGACCTGTCGACTGCGTTATTTATTTCCTCAAAAGACGCAAAGGCCAAAGAAACGATCATCTCTACTTTCAGCGCCTAGTCCGCAATATTGTTGTGTAGACCTAAACACCCGTCCATCTGTGCATATTTTGTAAAAGATGAAAAAAAACAACAACCCTTAATGGTTTCTCCTGGAAGGGACCCTACTGCCATTGCTTTCACATTCTCATACGTGCCGGGGTGGACATGGTACGGTAATAACACCACTCAACCTCCGACTGCCTAACCGTCCTCGCGCGCCTACGTGAAAATTTTACAGTTATAGACCAACCCACCTTTGATCGGGTAGTTGTTGCTTAACAGAGTGAGTGTAATACCGCCATCTGTCTGCGGCGTGACTGGATGGACACCCTTAACGATGAAGTAAACCGCCTCTTCTAAAATGTATCTTCGTATTTACATTGGCGTAATACAGTAAAAAAAAAAAAAAGCCCACAACTGACCACGCCCTCTGACATTACGTGCCCTGAAAAAAGTGATGAAACGCGCGGCCTTCAGTATGTCGAGAGAATATAAGACATGTTGTTCACAGGGACTGGATTTAGCTTAAATGGCCATCGGCGAAACGGCCCCTTCTGTGAAATGACCCGACGGCGAATCGTCACAGCCCCCCCCCCCCCCCCCCCCCCCCCAAGCACTGGTCACACCAACAGCTATTGACACATTTCATCATTACTGTTTACAGTCATACCGGTGCGCACCTGTCCTCAAGAAAACAAACCCGGTGATAAGACGAGAGATCAACGTAGGTTGAGTAATCAATGTTCTTTTCTTTCCTGTCTGTGCTTGGGCTTGAGTTCTGTCGCGTCTTTCGAGATCGGGACCCCAGGGGTTCGGGCGAAAGCAGTCTCGGATTCCTGCTCCAAAGTCAGATACCGCTTGATTTCTAGGACTGTCATTTCCGACACTTTCTAGTCATTTAAATGTTGTGGCTGGATTCATTGTCAAAAGTGTGTTCTTTCATCTAATAGGCATGAAAGATTCAGCTCTCAGAACGGGAGGTAAAGCTGCATACATGTTGCCTGGAGAAAAAAAAACACACTTTTTTTTTAATATTCGGTTCCTGTATTTAAAAAGAAATAATTTTATTATTCGGATTCAAGCGAATGTTGGCGACATTAAATTTTTGAGCTTTGAGTTAAGATTTGGTTTCAGGAATATTCTGTTATAACACCGCACTCGCTGTTTTAAGGACCCGACTGTGGGAAGTGAGCAAAGGATAGGATTCGGAAACCAATTGGCCTTCTAGTTCTAGCAGACGCATTTTTCTTCAAAGCTTTTATTTATTGTTTGTTCAACTTTTTGTTTTTTCTTCTTCTCTGTGTTGTAAATTTGTAAATTTTAAGTGAAAAGAGCTTTTGACATATTTTGAATTCAGCAACAGGACAATTCATTTAAAATCCTACCCGTGATAACACTAGCCTTACATCCATTCATCTCCTAACACCCCACTTCTCCTAGCATATACTTAAATCCCCCCCCCCCAAAACACCCTCACCTCCCCCTAGCACTCTTCTCTTATCCGGCCTCTCCTCCTACCACCCATCCTCTCATCACATCATCCCTCTTCTCCCTACACCCCTCTTCTCCTATCACCCCTCTTCTTCTCTTAGCATTCTCCTGTCCTCCTAGCAACCCTCCTGCCAATTCTCCACCTCCCATCCTCCCACGTTTTACACACTTGTCTCGCGATCGTTCAGTTGGATCTCATGGAGTAAACAGCCATCTAAAAATATCATATTTTGTGCAGCCACGAGTTATTTACGCCCATGAGACAAACTCAATTACTGCATGATCGCGGACACTATGTCTTCTCGAGAAGCTTTAAACTCTCAATTTCCAGAGAAAAGCAAAAGCGTAACGGTGCAAACTTTTACAAAAAAATATAAGAAAATTTACTACTCACATCTTTAAATAAAGGGCTTTGGAGTTTGAATGAAAGAAAACTTACAAATTTAAAAAAAAAAAAATAATAAAAAATTTTAAAAAAAACTTAAAAAAGAAATTCTAACAAAGACGCGTTTAAACCCACTAAATAGTGGGAAATAATTTAAAATGCATTGCGCAATATTTTTATACGGTCTTATTTTGTACTTTTTAGTCTTGGAATGAGGTAAAAGAAAAATTAATATACTAGAACATGATTTAAGAAGTGTCTAAAACTTAAATGTAATTTTTAAAAAAAAAAAAGGCACGGTAGGCTTTGAAAGTGATAATACAGTGTAAAGACCGACCGAATTTTGGCTTCGGTTTCGGCGCCGAAAGTGGCCATTTTATCACTTTCGGCCAAGTTTCGGTTTTGGCCGAAACTGAAAAGTTAACTTTCGGCTTAATTTCGGTTTCGGCCGAAAGAGAAAAGTTAACTTCGGTTTTTCTTCGGTTTCGGCCGAAATTGACTCAGACTTTCGGCCATCCGGCCGAAAGTGACTCAGGTTTTCGGTCATTTAATACTCAGCGAAAGCGATATTTAACAACAAACTAAGCGACATTTAGGAACAAACTAAACGATCTTTAAAATCAACTAGGCGATCTTTAAGAACAATCTAAGCTATCTTTAATAACAAACTAAACGATCTTATATAACAAACTAAACGATTTTAAGACCGAACTAAATAATCTTTAAGAACAAAACAAATAATATTTAATAGTAAACTAAATGATTTATAAGAATAAACTAAGTGATCTTTAACAGAAAACTAAATCTTTGTTTAGGAACAAACTAAAAGATCTTTAAGAACAAACGAATCGATCTTTAGGAACAAAATTGATTATCTTTAAGAACAAACTAAGGGATCTTTATGAAAAAAATAAGCAATCTTTACAACAAACTAAGCGATCTTTAACAACAAACTAAGCGATATTTATTAGCAACTAAAAGATCTTCAACAAAAAACTAAGCGATCTTTAAGAACAAACTAAACGATCTCTAACAACTAACTAAACGATCTTTAAGAACAAACTTTACGATCTTCAACAACAAACTAAGCGATCCTTAAGAACAAACTAAACGATCCTTAACAACAAACTAAACTATCTTTAACAACAAACTAAGCGATCGTTATGAACAAACTAACGGATCAATAACAAACAACTAAACGATCTTTAAAAACAAATTAATCGATCTTTTAGAACCACATTTTTTAGAGACCCTGTTTAAAAAAATAATATTTTGCACAAATTTCCCCCTCCTCCCCCCTCCCCCCCCACCAATTTTTGCAAAATTTTCTCTTATCACATACTAATTTTTAAAAAATTGTAAAGCAATTTAAATTACTTTTATATTAAAATGGTAAAATCCAAAGTATTTATTAGATCAAGGGTCTCAAACTCAAAACATGGGCAGGGGGGGGGGCACAGGAGGTAGTGTCTGAATGAGAGTGGGCCGCATCAAGTAATCCACACAAAAAAGCGATTACAACTGTTACAATCTGCTCAATCTTTATAAATAAAAATAAAATCATTAAAGGTTCTCAAGAACTACTCACTGTTGCCAGAGACCTGGCATACAAAAATATATAGAAAAATCAGATTTAGACTAGTCGGTGAGATTCGACTGAAACCGTCGCGAAGAGTCACGTTATAGATATGAGAATAGGGGAAACGGGCCGGCGCATTGACACTAAACTTTTCTGTCATGTAGCGGGCCGCAAAATATCGTCTTGCGGGTCACAAATGGCTCGCGGGCCGTGAGTTTGAGACCCCTATATTAGATGTTTATTTATCAATATTCACGATTATCTCATTTTTTATAAAAAGAATGTAAATATTTATACTTTCCCACATCATTTTCGATGTATGCAGAATATATGCGGGAACGAATTTCAAATAATCTTTATGTTTCGGCTTCGGTTTCGGCCGAAATTCATTTTTAACTTTCGGCCTTTTTTCGGTTTCGGCTGAAAGCCCTTTTTAAACTTTCGAAATTTTTTCGGTTTCTGCCGAAAGTCATTTTAAATTTTCGGCTTCGGCCGAAATCAGAAAATCACTTTCGGTCGGTCTCTAATACAGTGCTACCTCGGTTTACGTCCTGAATCCGTTCCAGATCTTTGGACTTATACCAAACATGGCGTATACCAAACGTATTTTCCCCATAAGAAATAACGGGAAAATGATTAGTCCGTTCCCATGAAAAAAGATCATATTGGTATTGGCATATTATACATTTATTGGCGTGGTTGTATAAAATAATTTAAACACTGCTTAAAACTAAAATACATAAATAAAATGAACTTGGGTGAAATGATGAAAATTTAACCTCACTAACCTTGGTGAGAAGAGTCAAGTGCTTACTAATATGGTGCTGAGAAGGAGTAGAAGTTGTTTTGAAGGAGAGTCCACTTCCAATAAAACTATAGGAATATAACATTCTATTGTTTTTTCTTTTTTCTGTCTCTTTTCCCTAATTTACCATGGTTGAGGCTCACCAGGTTTGACCTTTACTTAATATCTGTCTAAAGAGCTTTGCTTTTACCTTCTCCTCAGGATGTTTCGAAAATGTGACATTGTCTGGTCATTCCAGACAATGCTATTACGACTTGTTTGAGCTTTGTTGGGGTGGTACTGCTCTGCAAAGCTTTCGACGTCCATCCATTTAGCAAAGATTTCCTTGATTACTGAAGCAGGAGCCTCCTCTATCTCCTCCTGCTCAGAGCCTGAAGAGAGTGCACCCATCCTAGTCTGGGGCTCATTCTTCTCAAGTTCCTGAAGCTCCTCAGGGGTCAGCTCTTCCCTGAGACACAAACAAGTTCTAGCACGCACGCGGGTCGTATTCCAAACGAAGGTTTTATATTAAAAAAAAGGGTTCTCGTCCAAACAGGACCTATACCAAATTGGACTTGTTCCAAAGCGAACGTAAACCGAGGTGCCACTGTAATTTTTACGTATAGTAATATACTGTGCTTAGTGAGTAATAATATCGTGAAGGAGAAGATAGTCTCGCGTGCCTTGGGACCTTGCATAGCTGGGAACTGACATTAGGTCATACCGTCATCAGAGGAGCCTTTGGGGCTATGACGTCAGCTCTTCTTTTTTTTTTTTTTTTTTAAAGAGATATGGGAAAAAAAAAAAAACAGAAAAATAGGAACGAATGATATATTATAATTAGCAAAAGCATTTCGTTTTTTTCCCCAAATATTGATATTTTTTTTTTTTTTTGGGGTTTTTTTTTCTGTTTTTCTTTTTTTTTTTTTTTTTTTAAAGAGATATGAGAAATACAACAAAACAGAACAATAGGAACGAATGATATATTATAATTAGCAAATGCATTTCGTTTTTTCCCCCAAATATTGATATTTTTTTTCTTTTCTGTTTCAGGCCAACAATGCCTATATACGAGACCAGTGGCTGCATTCCATACAGTGGAAAGTAAGTGTATTAATACTCATTCTCTTTATTCTATTATCTTCAGACACCTGTAACTTGTATATCTGTGGATCTTAAATCGTCCCCGTCCACCAGCGAAAGAAAAACAAACTGGGAATGGGTTGACCGTGGTGGTGGTGGGAAGGGGGGGGGTTGGGGTTGGAGTAAAAATTGTTTATGAATGGCATCATCAAGCACACTCCTCAAACGCCATTTTTTTGTTTAAACCCGCATCGTTTAAAATTTGAGGACCCGCAGATCTATATACTTGAGTTTCGTTGTAACAGATTTGCTCAACCTGCGGCAGGTCAAGAAAATATCGACTAGATCAGTGGTTATCTAAGCGGCCGATATGCCTCCTAGGAGGCATATGGGATAGCCCGGGATATGGGATAGAAAGGGGGCTGAAAGGCTTGGGAGACGCCTGGGGTTTTAAAAGGGGGAGTATTTTTTATAATTATATTTTTGAGAGAAATTTTAAACACTGTTTTGGTTGGTTGTGTCAAATAAGTGTCGAACAGCATTTAATATATTTTTTTTTCACACACAACTATGAGAGAAATTACTTTTGCTAGAACTCCCTAATAGCGGCTCTTAATACTGGAACACTTGTACTTTGGAAGGCGTTGTGGGATGACATCATCTAAAACTTAGTATGACGTGGACTTTACAATATGCTTTTAATAGAAGCACCGGTGGCTTGCGTTCCTTCCAGTGACATAAACATTTTAAATGGCTAAATTAAGGAAGTCGTAAACCATCGGTGAAGAACTCGTCTGTCAACTCCTAGCGAGATTATAGTTTGATAGACCCAGAGCTGAGACTATGGAAGAGTAGTTGTGTAGCATAAACAAAAATCGACAGAATTTGCATTACAACTGGATGAGTTGACTTTCAAGGCAATATACATTTGCTTATCGTTTATTCACGTATTTTAACATTAAGCTTGGACCGACCAAGACAACACAAATATATTCTGAAAGACGGGAGGGAAAAAAAAAGAAAGGAGGGTGGCGTCAATATTTTGTGTTTTGGAACAATACAGATAATAGCATAAAGTTACAATTAATGAAAACGCCATCAATGACTGACTGCAATTTCGGTAGGTCCTTATCGTCAAATGTCTTCATTACTCTTTGTGGACTATATCGTCAACATCTGGTTTCTAAAAACAACAACCCAGCGACCGTCATAAGTCAAGGGATGTACATTTTTAAAACACAGACTCTCGATGATTGACTACTTCCGATGCTCTGTGTTGAGAACGGTGCTAATTGTTCTGCTTAAATCTGACGCTATTCGGCACAAATGTTTATCATGGAGCCGACTCCAAAGAGGAAGACATAGAAAAAGATGGGACGATAGCATCAAAGAGTGGACGGGACTAAAAATGGGCGATGCTGTGCGAAGTGCAGAAGACAGAGGCGAATGGAGGAGGATAGTTCACATGTCATCTGTGGCGCCCCAACGGTCCAAGGACTAAGGTACATGCTGATGATGACTCCAAAGACACACGGCATTGCTAGTACATCAGAAATATTGTATAAATTGAATAAAATAATTGCAGGTGGATGCGATCAATCTTATTTATACAAACCAAATCTGCCTCCCTTACTTTCGATTAAAAATTATCCACATTCAAGCGCAATATTGGACGTCTCGAATTATATACTGATTTCCAAGCACGTCTGAGCTAGATGTAAAGGATGATATGCAAGATGCTTGTGGGTAGTAATTTGAGGGTCAATTTTATATGCTACGTAAGATAGTCTGGACGATTTAGAATTTGTCTTGAGTTTTGGCTACAGTTTGAAATTGTTTACCCCTAGTCTGGCCGGTACTTGATTAAATGCTTCTTTTTGCCATAGAAATAAGAACATAGTCGATACATTTTCAGATAGAGACTTAAACCTGGCATTGATGGACTGCTATTCCTTTACCAAGCCAAAGCTATCAATCGCATCAAGAGTAATGGAAAACGTTAGGTTTCTAAAAACCTTGCTCGATAATTATTACCCCTTAAAAAGCTGAGCTTGATGCAAATAATCAGCTTATTATTGAATTAATAAAAGAGTACCATTCCATTTGTATTTTGATTCGCTATTCAAATATATATATATACACTTAAAAACTTCATTGTGTTATGATCTGCTATAGAGGGCCGTATAAACTTTATTTCTAAAAATGCTTATCATGGGGTTAGACAGGGAGGTGCGTTCGGTGTGGGTTTATGGTCCAAAGGTGGCGATGGCTGAAAAAAAGCTTGAGAACCACTGGAATAGATCAACGTTTCTCAACACATTTTTGTGTGTTGCTCCAGACCCACTTAACATGTTATTTTTTTAAGTGGTTACATTTCCTGTAAAAAGTATGAAGAAACTACACTTTTTATTTAGATACAAATACTTTTTTCAAAATTTTCGTGGCCCACAAAAAATAAAATGTGGCCCCCATGAGGGCCATATGACCAACGTTGAGAACCGTTGACCTAGACTCAACCCTAAAAATCCCTGTGATGAGCGGTATGAAATAGTTCAAAACTTTCCACTCAAAAAATAATAATTAAATTCTGCACCTCATTGACATTACACTACACCAAGATGATCTTCAGGACTTACAAAGTATTCTAAGGTTGGTCATCATCAGATTCAAGGATCAGCGAGAGCATCTTAAAATTCAGTTTGAATTCCCTTTAATCATTTACGAGTTTATTTCTACGTTGTATTTAGTTTCGTGTATGCAAACAACAACTTAAAAAAAAATAAAAAATTACACATTGTATACTTGAAAAGAGCATTTCGTTCTCTGTTTCCTCCTGGTTTTGTTTTCCTCCAAGCTTTCATTTTGGAGAGGATGGAAATGACTCGGGTTCCAATGATTACTTTGATTAATATTTCATGTCGACCAGTTTTTGAGTGGTTTGAAAAAGAAAAAGAAAAAAACTACGAGGCGTAATCAATTGGGGGAAAAAGCGCTGCATATATATTCTGCAGCATCCTGCGCGATATCTCGCCACGATGCTTCACGAACGGCTTAAAAACGTTATATCCATTTACGTCACACAAAAAATATATCCTATCGTTTCGGTACCCGGAACTCAAGACTTACACGGAACACTGCCATTTATGACTTGACTATGACTTTACTTTGAAAAGCATTTTAGATTTTCATTATTGATCTGTCAAATAATACTAAACGTTGTCTTAAATGTCTTAGCTGCAAAGTTATTTATTAAATAATGTATGTATATTGAAAACATTATTTTTTTTTACATGACATCCGCTTCTTTTCTACTATATTTCATCCATGTTTCACTCGTACATTCTTATTTGATCGTATCACTTAAAATTATATCAGACGATTCTTCCCGGTTAGATCCAAGGTTCGGTCAATTTGAATTTCGCAATCCTCAGATAGAAAATTCAGTGAAAACATCAACTTTTTTAATGAATACCAATTATTTTGCTAAAAGCTGTAAACCGATGGTTTATTCCCCCCCCCCCTCCCCTCTCCCGCGTTTTTCACAACGATGAAATATCTGCTTAACAAAGGCACTTCTTAAAGGCATCATTTGTTTATTTCTCGTATCTCCAGAATTGTACATATAAAATTTTTAACATTGATCCAACTCCACCGACATGTTACAAAGTGATTCTTTCTTTCTGTTGTATTCAAATCGAAATATAAACTGTTTACAATAAACGTTGTTGAATTAAGCTATGTATTGGAAAAGTTTCAAAACCATGTTATTTCAAGGTAAATTAACTTTTTTTTTTTTTTTTGTTATTGTCAACTTTCAGCGACACATTTTTAGATCTGAAAGACTTCTGAAAAATGCAAGACGACCGGAAATCCTTGTCAAAGAAATAAAGGTAATTATACTGTACCATTTTCATCGGTGAACTCCGTGTGCCGTTTTTTCGGTGAACTCTGTGTGTGTGTGTGTATGTTCGATAGGGTTCCCACATTTTATTTTTGAAAAAAAAATAAAAAAAATATATAATTAATATAAATATTACCATTCGATTAGTTGCTGTTTCTACCCACAAAACTATTTACCTTTGCCTAATCCTTTGGAAATATTGGATAAGTTGGTCATCGTGCAACTGTAATCAGTGTTCGCAGCGGATTGGTCATGTATCTAAAGACGTTGAGCACTAATGAATATGGGATTGCCAGTCATAATACAAACAGAGCGACAGTCTGACTTCTCTTGGGCGGCCGAAAGCCTCAATCACTTTCGGCCGAAACCAAAAATCAACGGAAAGTTAACTTTTATGTTTCGACCGAAACTACGCAGAAAGTGATCATACGGCAACTTTCGGCACCGAAAACGAAACTCGGTCGGCCCCAAACTACAAGTGAGTCATGTCGTGGTTTAATAGCACACGGCTTTCAGGGTCATTTTATCCCAACTATCTTCGGACAGGCAACAAAGAATCGATCGAAGTCGAAGGAATTTTCTTTGGTGGTTCAGAGAAGATCAAGAAATTGAATTAATTATTTACATTTAACTGTGGATATACAACTAATAGGTAAAATACACCGCATTGAATGCTTGCATTTGTTGTTGTTTTTTTGTGTTTTTTTTTTCCAAGTGGGACAAAATGAGGGCCATGAAGGGCCCTGCAAATCAAAATCTTTGTTTATAAATGTGATACGGATAAATCATGTATTATTAGGAATTAAGACATTTATCCCGATTTTTTTTTCTATTTGGATTTATCATTATACTTTTTAACATAAGAGCAAGTACACACATTTGATGCAGTGGTAGGGAGACACACTTCTTAGATTGCTGTGTTGATTGGTTCCCGAAAAAGCTGTACAATGGTTCCAAATACGATAATGTGTTGTCATCCCTGGTCCAGGATTCTTTACGGGCTGCAGGGCAGCTGTTATTTGTCGGGCAAGATTGCAGCCAGCTGTGTATGTGTGTTAACATGTTTTGCGCCAATTGTTCTGATATCATTTTATTGCATTTCAACCCAAGCGGAATCTCTGGTTTTGGTCTGCCTTCATCAACCAGGTAATAAACCTTATCTCGACTGTTCCACGTTGATGTGGCCATATTGAGCAAGCGGAAGTTAGCCACTGACGCAGCTCAGGGGGGAGTGAACATTTCCTTGCAGATATTAAGCAACGGGATTTTCTGTTCAGAGCTATCGAACCTCCCTAACTACTATCCAAAAAGAAAAAAAAAAAAAAAAAAAAAACCCCCCTCTTTCAGCCCACCTTAACAGCTAGCAGTATTCCGACACCATCAGCCCTCCTTAACAGCTAGCAGTATTCCGACACTTTCAGCCCACCTTAACAGCTAGCAGTATTCCGACACCATCAGCCCTCCTTAACAGCTAGCAGTATTCCGACACCCTCAGCCCTCCTTAACAGCTAGCAGTATTCCGACACCATCAGCCCACATTAACTACTAGCAGTACTCCGACACCCTCAGCCCTCCTTTACTATTACTAGTAGAAGTAATCTAACAAAATCTGCCTTCTCCGAAAATTAACAGTAATCTAACAACATCAGCCCTCCCTTGTTACTAACAGCAATCCAACAACATCAGCCCTCTCATACAATTAACAGAATTCCAACAACATCACCCCCTCTTTAAGTTCCTTTATCACAAGGGGATGAATGACATGTTGAACAAGCCTTAATCACGCGGTGCCTTTCAATATTTTTATCTTTTCAATCCTCGATTTACATATTCAAAATATATATAATATAAGGGTGAAATTTCGAAGGAAGGCAATAATTAAAACTGTAGGCAGTGTTAATTTGCAGTATTTTAAAAGCAGAAAGAAAATCTCTTATATACTTTGCTTCTGGTGTGGCTGCTTTATCAGCACAAATGGCGCCCCCCCCCCCTTCAACATTTTTATATTAATAATACCGAGTGGGGTGGGGGGGGGGGGGAATGCTGTCAAGCAGTGAGCGTTATACGTGATGGTTGAACTCAGATAAGAAGATTGAATTTTTTCGGAGGCGACAATTTTATTAATTAATAAAGAGTCACGCGTATGGTGTAGGGTGGTGTGGCTGCTTTATCAGCACAAATGGCGCCCCCCCCCCCTTCAACATTTTTATATTAATAATACCGAGTGGGGTGGGGGGGGGGGAGAATGCTGTCAAGCAGTGAGCGTCATACGTGATGGTTGAACTCAGATAAGAAGATTGAATTTTGTCGGAGGCGACAATTATATTAATTAATAAAGAGTCACGCGTATGGTGTAGGGCTGTCTTTAGCCCTAGCGTTTAAAGACCAGAAGGTAAGAAGCGGGAGTGTGTATAGGACTATAGTTTAAAAGCTGACAGGTAGAGCGTAGGACCTAACATTTGGACGTCTGGTTGGCTCAGTTTGTATGGACGACCTTCTGTAAATGCGAATTTCGTGGTCTCATCCATATTCTGATAGGTTAAAAACGAAAATTAAAATAATAAATATAGTTCACTACTGCTTAATTAGAAACGCATATGCAAAATTAAAAAAAAGAAAAATAATAATAATAGTTATAATAGCTTTTGCCATGAATTTATAAAAAATAAAATATTTTTATCACTGCCAAAAAAAATAATGCAAAGCCGCATAATTCATAAGGACTTTTTTTTTTTTTAAATACCGCTCTAGATTCGCTGGAATCTGTACACATTTATAGTATACTTATACACTAATGGTTAATTAAGTCAGAGCGGGTAACCTTACAGAAAGGTTTGTAATGGTGCAATGTGGGATCTTTTACACGCTCCTTTAGTCGGCGACAAGAAAAACAACGGACCGTGGACTCCAGGAGAAGACTGTCTAGGACTACGGCCTGCATCTTTCAGATCTCTGCATCAATTTTTTTTTAACTCAGTAACCAGCTCTTGACGCTGTTTGCGTCTCCCCCTTATCTCGAGACCAAAATATGGACAGGAACTCCATCAAAAACATGCAATTGCTGTTCATAAAGCTTATTTTTTATTTTTAAATATGGGATATTTTATTTGGGGGTGGTGGGGGGAGGAGGCCAAGGGGCGTAGCGCCCTGTCTTACTCTGGAGCAAGCGCGTTGGTGGATTCAAAAGTTTAAGATGGGGTAGAAGCACCAAGCCATATGACTCACCATGATGATTTTAACCAAAAAAAAAAAAAAAGCAACGGTGGAGCTGCCATCGTAAACGGATGCATCGCTTCTGGGGGGGGGGGGGGAGGCCAAGGGGAGTAGCCCCCTGTCTTACTCTGGAGAAAGCGCGTTGGTGGATTCAAAAGTTTAAGATGGGGTAGAAGCACCAAGCCATATGACCCACCATGATGATTTTAACCAAAAAAAAAAAAAAAAAGCAACGGTGGAGCTGCCATCGTAAACGGATGCATCGCTTCGTCTAACTCGTCGTTAATGGAGTGCATTGACCCCTCGAAGGTGGAGTGTAAAAATCTAGGCTTGTGGGAACCACGGTCTGTTTGGGTTTACTAAGTGACTTAAGTTAGACATAGTTATTTGAATGGGCAGGGATTGAATACAACGTGGTTGATCAACCACGTATTGGTATGTGACGTGATTATAATGCACTTGGAATGATCATTTACCAGCTACATTGGAATGTTACAGAGATTCTGCCCACCATTTATTAATTTTCTGACCGAAAACAGTTACGCATGTCCCCTTCCGTGTTTACAAACTGTTATGGAATATATAAACCCCCCACCACCACAAAAAACAAAAACCAAACAAAATTGCGCTTGCAAACACCACCCACCCCCCCCCCACCCCCCGCTCTTTTTAACTCCCGTTGGAACCATTGATTCGCATTTACCGAGGAACCGCCTCTTTGTCCAGCCTACTCTTATCACGGCTCATGTTGACCTTGTAATGTACACCCTGCAGCACCCCACCCCCTTCCGAACTCCTCCCTCCTCCCCCCACACACACACTCACACGTTGACCCCTCCCACAGATCACACACACACCCAAAGGCACTGCTTTGAAGGCAAGCGAGTCAACACACAATCCGCTGGCAGAGTTTCGTCACTGGTTTACTCGTGGTTTTGGACCGTTTAAAACAAATAAAGGTATCGATCAATGGCCACCGACAGGGGCGGCCCCAGATTTGAACGTTACACTTGGCCACCAAAACAGGCCAGGTGAACGGCGTGATCTGTCGTGCTCTATTCATTTCGGTGTCCGTGCCAGCTGCGGTTTTACATGGTCTGTTTCCACGGAAGACGACCGAGGCGCATACGTTCTTGTGCTGCCCTCACTCCCTCTCCTTTTCCTCATCCCCAGCACCTCTCCTCCTCAATCCCCTCTTCTCCCAACACCCTGATCCCGACCCTCACTGGTTCACACGTGAAGACAAGTGATTTCTTCAAATGCTGGAGGAAGGAGGAAATAAGGTTCCTAATGGCTGGCTGAAGTCTTGAGGCGTCCGTCCTGTTGTGTAGGATATTTTAAACAAGATACTTTGTTTGCTCGAGTTTTAAGGTCACGATTGGAATGTTAAAAACCCGCCCCATCCTGAGATCGATAACTGAACGTTTGCTTTCAAATCATTTAGTTTATCATCATGTTCAACTTGAAAGCAAAGCCATAGGAGTCTTTTTTTTAATAGAAACTCTCATCCCAACGACTTTTTTAAAAAACCTTTTTTTAAAATTAGAATCTCCTCTCTCCCTGACATCCCTTGTAAATCTATTTTCAAGTACAATAGAAAATAGCTCCTTATTGACGTCATCACAGCGTCGAAGGCCTTAACCGGATTTCATAGTTTATCCTGATAAGTCCTTGCATTATTCACAATTCAAGTGGTGCTTACCACACCATTGACTTAAAATCGGAGTGGACATTTCAATGCATATCGATAATCCGTCAAGTTGTGTTACTCATTTTTAAAAAAAATCTCGGCCACGTATATATCACATCAGCCTTCACGCTCAGTGTCTGAAGTTTTTATTAGTGTTGCTATTACTGTTGAATTTCGAAGAACAGAAATCATTTCACTTGTATGCAAACGTTATAGTTGGGAGTCTTCCGTTGCTGCTATATGTAGATATCTGTTTACGTCTATAGGATTCAAGATTTAGAAATTTAATAAAAATCAGTTGATAATTTATCAAAATGATCTATGTTGCTCCCTCCCATTTTCTCGTCAACTAATCTTCTTCGTCTCATCCTTTCTCCCTCTTGATTTCTCCTCTCACACCCTTATTTTCTTCTCTCTCCCTCCTGGTCTCGTCATCTCTCCCTCCTTGTCTCCTCCTATCTCCCGCGTTGTCTAGCTCCCTACTTGTCTCGTCCTCTCTCCCTACTTGTCTCGTCCTCTCTCCCTACTTGTGTCGTCCTCTCTCCTTACTTGTCTCGTCCTCTCTCCCTACTTGTCTCGTCTTCTCTCCGTGCTTGTCTCGTCCTCTCTTTCTACTTGTCTCGTCCTCTCTCCCTACTTGTCTCGTCTACTCTCCCTACTTGTCGCTTAATATTTCCCACCTTGTCTCCTTCTCTATAAAATTCTATCTCTCCTCTTGTCCCCTCTCTCCTCTCTTCTCCTTTGTCTCCCCATTTCTTCCCATAGACTCTCTCTCTCTCACTTGCCTCCTCTCTCCCTCCTTGTCTCCTCTTTCCTTCCTTGTCTTCTCTCTCCCTCCTTGTCTCCTCCTCTCCCTTATTGTCTCCGCTCTCCCTCCTTGTCTCCTCTCTCCCTTATTGTCTCCGCTCTCCCTCCTTGTCTCCCCTCTCCCTCCTTGTCTCTCTCTTTCTCTTCCTCCTTGTTTCCTCTCTCCCTCCTTGTCTCCCCTCTCCCTCCTTGTCTCCCCTCTCCCTCCTTGTCTCCTACCTCCTCCGTAGCTCCTCCTTGTCTCCTACCTCAGCCTACTGGTCTCCACACATGTATTCACTCTCAAGTCTCCCTCCACAGAGCCTGATCGATGTGTCATTAATCACGCCCATACAAGATTCGTCAGTCTTCAGGTATCCTCTTGACCTGGTCTCGGGCCTCATACAACAGGTAACACAGTGACACTCGTTGTGTGTATGTGGTGGCATGCGTGATTGCACTGCATGTGCAGAGTTGAAAGTCTCGCGAAGTATAATTGATGCAGTCTCAGTTAGAGATTGTTGTTTAAGGATGTCTCAAATTAAACACCCCGGCTCTTGGCAATACAGAAAACACGACTTGTGGTTGGTTGGTTTTCTCTCTGTGTGTGTGGGGGGGGGGGCGTCTAACTTGTAAAATTAGTGTATTTCATTTGTTCCAATGCAAGTCATGATTGTTGTTTAAGGATGTCTCAAATTAAACACCCCGGCTCTTGGCAATACAGAAAACACGACTTGTGGTTGGTTGGTTTTCTCTCTGTGTGTGTGGGGGGGGGGGCGTTACTGGGGCATGGGGGGTTATGGGTGGTGGCGTGGTAAATATTTCTGCAGCATTCAATATACAAACTCGATCCAAGCTTTCTGCAGGTCATTTAAAGGGTATAAGTATTAAGCCATTTATTTTAGAAATTACAATTAGCTATAGGAAATAACTTCTTCACGACTCGATTATTATTAGTAATGCAATAGTAAGGCTTGGTGCAGCGATACCAGTTCATCGATTTCTCGTTTGAATTAACTTGGCAGGACACTGAACGTGCTTGTTCAGATATCTGAAAAAAAAGCAGCAGCAGGACGATTAAAAAACATTTTGAGAGCGAAATGTCTTTTCAAGAAACTGTCAAGCACCATGTTTCTCGGAGTCAAAACCGATTTGCAGCCAACTGGCCGAGCCGCGATTTGCCGACCACTGGCACCGAGTAATGTTACTGCCAGGAAACATCATGACATATTAATCTATGTAAAACAGTACTCAAACAGCCAGAATTCTATTAGCATGAGTGCTTCAGCGATTATATTCCAGATTTAGCAATTAACAAGGAAATGTATACCATGCGCTAGTTATCACTGTTTAATTTAGAAGCCTCGCAAAACACACTAAACATTGTGTGTTTTGTGTGTGTGTGTTTTTTTTTTTATAATCATGAGGTGTCTGAAGATATATTCTTTTCGGCCATGCGAATATGTGCCTTTTTAAAATTTCAATCCATCAGGGAGGTTACTGTGCTCTTAGAAATGATCTATTTTTTATTCCCCCCCCCCCCCATGCGTCTGCCGTCTCTGTTCCGAAAATAACTGATTATTAATTAAATAATTAAACAATCCCGTTACCAGACGAGGCTTCGCCAAATATATATATATATAATTTTTTTAAAAACAACACTAAATTCAATTTCACCATATATTCTGTGTTAAATATATCTTCTAAGAAGAATGTTTTCAAAAACTGCCAGTTTCAATACCAATGTATAGTGCTGTTACACAAAATGAATTTCTTAAAACAGCTTATACGAAGTATTGATTTATTTGATTTTTAAAAAAAAAATAATAAACAGCTCATCTTTCAGATTGAATGTTCAGATGTAATACACCGACGAGCTGACGTGTCACCTGGCTCCGTAACATGAATTACAAATATGTCTTGTTTTCATGAATACAATTTAGAAATTTAAAAAAAAATTAAACTCCTGTTTGAACGATATTGACCAAACTCTGGCGATGAATAAGCAATATGTCTGCATGTCATCTCCAACTTAAAGTCAAGCCACATGTTCTCTCGTCTGAAAATAATCAAGGTCATTTGTAGCGTCAGAGTGGACACGTTGAACTTTTACATGCGTCTAATGCACGTGTGTAAAAATAATGTCTGCTTAAACACAGCGCCCGACTAAGAAGGCCTAAGCGTGTGTTTTTGTTTTTTTGTTAACGGTCGCTTGTAACTGTATTTGAAATATAGATGTGCGTTCAAACCGTTTTCAGTCCGTGCTTGTCACCATTCACCAGCGCTCCAAGTGATAATCCCAGCTCGCCGTCCCTCAAACCTATCGAACCTTTTAGCGCCCTGATTGGTCATAGCGCCGCGCCCTCAGGTACCGTCCGTCCCCCTTTGAGAACCAACGAGGTACCATAAAAGGGCATTATGCATTGGCAGTAAGGTATCACACAAGGAAATTCTGCCCAACATTTGAAGATCCTCTATACCTTTAAGTAGTTTCAATAATGACAGTGAGGGGCGTGGGGGGGGGGGGCTATATTTTGCTTGCCTTATCTCCTGTATCTGCCGCTGACCCAGCTCCCCCCCCCCCCCCCCCCCCACTCCCCCCCTCCCCCCCCCCTGCCCCCNGCCCAACATTTGAAGATCCTCTTTACCTTTAAGTAGTTTCAATAATGACCGGGGGGGGCGTGGGGGGGGGGGGCTATATTTTGCTTGCCTTATCTCCTGTATCTGCCGCTGACCCAGCTCCCCCCCTCCCCCCCTCCCCACTCACTCTCTCGCCCCGCATTGGCCCCGCAAAGCACAAAACACAAACCCAAACCTGGGACAAATAAGAAAAAATTAAAAACAACTGTCGACCGAGGATGAAATGGATAGATCTAAGCGACGGGAAAAATCGATCGAAAGAGATTCCCCCAGCAGTCCGTTATTGTGTCGGTGATCCACCCCTTAAAAGTCCACTGGTGACAAGTGGACAGACACCGCCCGCATGCTTAACACCAGCGCCAAGTTTAGACCCGGTCCCGCCGCCGGTTAGTTAAGAGGGCTTGTTGTTTGGCCAGTGTTTGCTCAGTCAGCGCCACTGTTAGCCACCATGGAGTTAGTAAGTTGGAGTCTTTGTTTGTGTTTACTTTTGCTTCTTGAAATGGCAGCATAGGTGGTGCTGCTTTTTGTGTTGTTTTTTTTGTTTATTCTTCCTTGCATGTCTAGATAATTTGATAGTTGTGTTTTTGACGAAAATTTATGTTTTGGACTAAGGCATGACTCTATGTCCTGTATGAAGGAAGTTAACTTTTTTTTCATATAAATCAAAATACAGCAACTGAAATTAAACACTTACAGTTAATCAGTTTGTCTGTTACTCATTCTATCTTGATGAAGCAGGTTCCCCCACCCCCACCCCTTTTATTTTGTTGTACGTCACTTCTTAACACATTTAAACAAAAAAAATCACATACATTATTTTAATTGTAAGAAAACATTAACTTAACAGAAGATATTTTTCAATAATTTCTAGAATTGAATAAAACAATAAATTGATGAGCATTTTAAACGAGAACAAAAGTCTCGTTTTTTTTTTTTTTTTTTTTTTTTGTAAAAAAAAAGGGGGGGGGGGCGTGAAGGACTGCCCTTGTTGACACACTGGTTTATCCACTGGATACAAGTGCATTATATTCACTTGTTTCGCAATATTCACTTGTTCACGGTGTTCATTTGTTCACGGTGTTTAATTGTACGTGGTAACCATTGAACAAACAAACAAACAAAAAAGCCGTGTAGCCATTTATGGTATTCACTTGTTCACGGTAGCCATTGAAGAAACGAAAGTCGTGTAGCCATGCACGGTACTCACTTGTACACGGTAGCCAATGAGCGAACACAGGCCGTGTAGCCATGTACGGCACTCACTTGTACACGGTAGCCAATGAGCAAACGCACGCCGTGTAGCCATGCAGGCCGTTTTGAGTTATCTTATCGGTGGAAAAGGTCAGACTAATTCGGAGATTGCGATCTATGGTGTAGGGTCAGATTTAGCGCGCAATCGACCGACACTGACGGGGGCCAAGTCTTGGGCCGATGGTACCGTCTGTTTGTCAAACATTGATACGGTTATCCCCCTTTGCGGTCAAACGTCGTCGTCGTCGTCCGCCCCCCCCCCCCCCCAAAAAAGGTACAGATTGTATAGGCCAAGTCTGCTTCCCAAGTTATGCTTCTGACCTTTGATAGGTGTCTTTAAACTTAAGTCGCTTTATGACTGCGTTATTTGCCTTGGAACACATGTAGATGGACACATGAATCACCCTGGGGTACAACCCATAATGAGGCACCCTGCCGTCTCCCTCATAAGCTTGGTTTCTTAGAATGAAGAGCACGCAAAGATGGATGACAGCGCGATTTGCCCTGTAATAACCGTCTCAGTTTGTAATCGGGTCTGATAACTAGCAATTTATCTTTAAATTGTGGAGGCGGATTTGTCGTAGTTGTATGGACCACAAATTCGGATACTCTAAACACCGCTGACTGTCTAATAAACTAGCTTTATTTTGACGTTCCCCCCTCGTACCCTTTGGTTTAGAAGCGTTCAACCAGAGCGGCGGAGCATACGGTGGCTTATAATGAATAAGGATGAAATTAACAGATTTTAAAGAAAAACTGCTCCTTTTTAGTCTGTTTGAGGGTTGAAGCAGGAGTCCTGGGGTACAACGCGGACTCAAAAATGAAAATCCACTTATAGCTCAGACCTGACTCCAGACCTTCTTTTGCACTGTTTCTTGTGTTTTCTTTGACTTCGGAGCTACTCTTGCAGTGTGCCTTGTGTTTGAGAGTCTCAGACCATCTCTAGCAATCATTTATTAATTTTAGATTAAACCAGATTTTAAAATGTGTCTATGAGAGGATTTCTTATCCTTTTTTGCAGCACGGCACCCCAGTTGATTTTTACCCCACTCTATGTCGATTTCAATACACATTTCCCCACGCAAAAAAATAAAATGCTAATAAACCAGACTTTGTTGGTCTTTTCACAGCATCCAGCACCCCCAGGGGTGCGCGAACCCTTGGTTAGAACCCCTGGTCTAGGATATGACCTCTCAACAGATGCAGCAGTGCGCCTGCCCCTGCTAATCCCCCACCCCACTACTTACTGAATATGTTACAACAAAAAGTCTTTTTGTTCATCATTCGGTCTCAACCAGACTCTTTGTTTTCTTACTATTGAATTCGTGTGTAATTTGTCTAAGTGGAAACTTTGAACGTGATAGAACCACTACCGCTTTGCGCCTCGGTTTAATCGCATGTGTTCAAACCAACCCAACCCCATTTCAGAATAAGGCACGTTGTCTTCGTCTGTCTCACCTTTAGGCTAAAGCGAATTTCATGTACCTCATTAGAACTTTTATGTGTGGAAATAATGAGCTTGCACTTTTAGAATGTCTGGAGCTATTGAGGCCCAGCCCGCACAGTAGGGAATATTCTCCAGTTAAATCAAGCCGTTAAAGAGAGCGTGGTTTCGTAACAAGTATTCAGGATTTTGCACGGTGAAACTTGCATTCTCTTCTTGTTTAATCTTGTATATAGTTCTCAAATAAACAAGTTCTAGATCAGCCCCCAACGAAATGTTAAGGCTTTTCTGCATGCATTGGCGGATTCGGGTGGGAAAGCATGAAAGGGGGGAGGGTGGGGGCGAGACGGGAGACACTCCTCTTTCCATTTTTTTTTAAAAAGATGAAGACTATGCACTTTTCATGCACACGACATTGTCGACCATTCAGACTGATGACAGCACTTAGATTTAATCAGCGTTTTCCGTGTTCAAGCCGCTGGTGAGCAGTTTGGGTGACACGGCTTTATTAGAAATGTTGATATACACCTGGCAGATCATGAGATCTTTTTCAACACTGTTATCATAAGGGTTGCATTATTTAAACAAAAAAAACTTGTTTATTCACAGAAACCCCCAATCAATTGGTTGTAAATATGTCGCCACATGAAAACTTAAAATACTGAAGTCGGGTTGAGATCAATAAATCAAGTCGCGCGCATCCACCGCGGCGTCTCTCAGAATTTGAGATTCTGAAGATGTTATTATATGTCCAATAGCTCTGTGCATTGTCCTCATAGTTTTTGGACCAACGGCCTGTTTGCGAACGATGAGCTTCAAAAGGCCGGCCACAGCTTGATGTAGCCAAAGACACAAAGCCCCTTTGCTTTATGAGACATGGATACAGGGTGATATTTTATAATAGAATTTGGAAATATTAGCTTGAAAGGTTGATTCATATTGTATTTATTTGTAATCAGATTACTGTTGCATAGTTTTAAAGTTAAAAGTTGTAATACTTTTAATTTATTTTGGCGCACATTATTTCACGGATTATAGGTTAAGATCACTGGCTCTAGCTACTGTACCGGAGATAAAGTGTTATATAACCAATCAGCACATCTTTAAACCTGGGCTGAGCTTTGGCTGTTTCAGGGCTGTTTGCGCAGGCCCTGCCACTGCAAGGGAACTCTGATTTTTAAGGGGCGAAAATTTATGATGAGGAAAAAATGTTCAACTTTTGAATGTCAGGGTCATAAGACCGAAAAATCGCTGGGGTGCCTCCAAAAATCTCGCGACAACTCTGGTCTGGTTAAACTAATAATTCTTGGTATTTCAAAGAACTGAATGTCACTGTCATGTTCTTCAATACATCCGGAAACAACACGTGTCATGACTTTCTCTGTAGTTGGTGATTCCGTTTTCATGTTGAAACAAAGCTGAAAAACCATCTGTTGCATTTTCTGCTGTTCACCGTTACCATGAGCTTATGTTACCATGAGCTTACGTTACCATGAGCTTACGTTACCATGAGCTTACGTTACCATGAGCTTACCGCCTCTGCAGTGTACATACAAGTATGAATCATTGTTCTATTATTTTTTTTCAGAATGACGAATTTTTAGGGAAAGAGTTCCAGGAGAGTATTATTGTGGCCTTGACCCCATTATTGGAGAAAAATCACCCCACCCAAGAAATTTGTGATTTCTTTAGCAAGGTTAGTGTGAGGAGTACCTGAAATAATTGAGGTACTTTTATGACTGATTTATAACTAATTTCTTTTGTCTGTAGAACACTCACTATCAATGAGTTTCTCATATTAGAGTAAGTCATAAATCATTGGTTCCGAATTTAGTTGCAGGCTAATTAAATGTTTTTAAAATAATTTTTTGCGGCCAGAGTATTGAAACATATTATCTTGGCAGTTTCATTTCATTATTTGTTGTCATGATTTTAAGTTATCATCCACTTAAAGTGTTATTTGTATTTTCTGCATTAATATTCCATGGCTTAAATAAGATATTCAATGTCTTTAAATGTCGAAGGAAGCAAATTTTCGTACAGCTCGAGTGTTCATAAGGGAAGGCTGAAGGATAGTCTATCATCAATTATTTGTACTAAGCAAGCATGGTCAGTTTCTGTAATAGTTTGTGTAGAAAAGACTTTGATGCAGTACATTGTTTTTACTTTGTCCTCAGCACTGCAAGAACAGTCCCAGATCAACTCTAGTGATAGAGCTGTTTACACCAGTGGTCCATCGGATACTCAAACATAATATAGTAAGTAGTAGAGATGGGAGTCTAAATCAATGGGTACCGACCGAACAAACCTATCACACACTTATTAAAACCGAAAATATCTTATGAATGTTGTACATCACTTCTTCCGCCAGAAATGCTTATATTTTAATTATACTAGGAAAAATTGCTAGGAACTGTCAGCCAGTAATATAAAGCAAGGGGATGAATACTGTAGAAAGTTGAACGAGATATGAGAATAATTAATTGTGTATAAATCTAATACACATTGCTTAAGAGACGTCTCAGTGAGCATTGTAGGTTTAGAGGATTGATAGGCCATTTGAATCAACCTTACAATAAGCATAAAACATTAAACCCAATAAAATGTATGATTCCCTGTTGGTTTTTTTCCTTAGATTTTTGTGACTCATACGTTTATTTATAGTTAATTAAATCCTGTTGTAATATGATATCTAAAGAAAATTGTCTTATTTTTTAGTACCTTTCAATATAAATGATTATGTTAATAAAAAATGTTATACATTTTTTTTTTTTTAAATGTATATAAAAATTGCTATAATTACTGCTTTAGTTGTTACTGAGCTAAACCCAAGCTTTAGTTGTTACTGAACTGAACCCAAACCAAAGTTGTTAACATATGAAACCTAAACTTCTAAAAGAGGTTTTGATTCCATTCTCTTGTAAGTAGTCCATAATGACAGACTTCAACCCAATGATACATATGCTTATCACATTGATTTCAGTAGGGATGATTGGCAATTAAAACAGCCAGTCCACTAGGGACATTTGATATTTAATAAAGTCATTACACTAGGGAATTTTGGTATTTAAATAAAAGTAATTAAGTGAGGTTTCAAAAATCTATGGAAAAAAAACAAGTTAAACTCTATGGCTTCAAGCTTACATCAGTTTTTAAAAAAACAAGGATCGGAATTCAAATTAAATGCAATATGTTAGTATTGAATGAAAAGAAAGACGCCGAACACACGCGTACAGAGTAAAGTAAGAAGTAGTCAGCCTTGTTTTATCTTGTATTTTGTCTTATTTGGTCAATGCTATTTTGAAGTAAGATGGCACCAGTGATGTGATCATCTAATTTTTTTTTAATATTGATATTAATTTTTGGTTGCAATTATTTTTTTTTCTGCTGCACAGCAGACAATATTTTTAAATATTCAATTATGTGTGTGAACGAATTTTAGTGATTATAAGTTTAGCGTATGGGAAGATTTAAAAAAAAAAGGTTGAGCGCTATGTTCTAGCTCAAGACTTCTTTTAACTACTTGTCTGATTTTGTGTTTTTTTGTTTAATGAGAGATACATTTTTCAATTGCCTTTTTGTTACTAATTTTTGTATGGGCCCATCTGGAATATTTTTTATTACATTGCCCATGCATGCAACTACTATTGACATGTCAGCCATGTATCGTCCAATATAACAGAGAAGGGATCTAAATAAATTGCTGACTTGAAGATTCAAGAAATACCTTACGTTAAAATAAAAGATTATAACAGTGAAAAGATTGGGGGGGGGGATCTCTCAGCTTTAGGGGTAATATATGGGGAACTGCATTCAAGCCGTGTGAAATAAATAAAATACTGTAGCAAGGTAATTTATGTATGGGCTTGTAAAAAAGGCGGAGCAATTAAAAAGACGTTTCAGCCTTCTTCAGCAGACAATACAAAACATAAAATAAATTATTTGAAATTAAAAAACTGTGTTCCCAGACCACAATGTAGCTCTCTCTTTCTCTGTATGGCAAATAAACTATAAAAACAGAAGTTAATTTGTTCTAAACCAAAATGTGCCTCTCACATAATTCAAGGTAAGAGAATGTAAGTGTTATTAATGTAAAATCAATAATTTAAATTACAAAAAATAAAAAAAATAAAAAAAAATAAAGGAGATAATAGAAATGGAGAGCAATTTGAGGACCACTAGTAAGAGAGTATTTTATGGAGTCCATTTGGTGATATGATGCCGAAAATCATAATTAAATTTTGTTCATTCTTCACTCTCGCTGGTGTATCTGAGCAAGTAATTAGAGCAAAGATGGAGACATCTGATGTGACCCTATGATGTGATCATATGCATTTGAAGTATGCCTATATCAGAACTTATAAAATTTATGACATTTATTTTTTCAAGGTGCAAAAAGAAAGAAAAAAACGCCATAAATTTTAGCCAGGTCTCCCTGAAGGTTTTATTGGAAACTGTCTCGATCACTATGGAGCAATAAAATATATTTAACAATGAAGCTACACTTTTATGTATTATCACAAATATTTTAATAATCAAATATTATTTCTAAAGTTAGTTTTATAAAAATTAATTGTGGCATTATCCTTTGGCACATGAATTTTTTTTTTAACTAATGACAAAAATAAAGCAAATACGTTGAAGATCATGTGACATCAACAATATGATTTTTTTTAGACCATCATAAAGTCTAAATCTAGTCATGAAAAAATTCCGCATGGTTCTACCTTTAATATCTAAAATATGAGTGGAGAAAAAAAAATAGTTTTCACATAATTCAATGACATAAATAGCAGCCATTACATTGTAACCGAGTCAGGCAGACCGAGTCATTGGCCTGGAGGTTTTTTCCCCCCTCTCCTAAGTCCCGACCATTTGTTATACCCAACATTGCTATATGAGTATGTGCTATCTAGAAACTATAGTTCAGATAAGATTTGAGAGGTTTCTGTAAACCAGATGCCCACAAAGTTGGTCACTAGGTGGTCTTGACAAAGATAAATAACTTTAGAAAAGAAGCAATTAGCATCTAGTCATGAGATTTTGATGGATGACTACATTGTTTCATTCAGTTCAATGCCATCTCATCGAGCTGGACAGGATGCCTCAGCATCATCTTAGGTCTGTTCATGGGCGCCCGCAGGTAGGGGCAAGGTGGGGCACTTCCCCCCCCCCCCCCCCNAGAGAAAATAAAGCGAAAGTAACTAAGCTGATGTCCTGTCCTTTCGTTTACCATACAAATACGCTATAGTAAATTAAAACTATATTGAAACATTACTAAAAAAAATTCCTTACATCCCCTGGAAAGTTAATTCATTTTTTTTGCCCCCCCCCCCCCCCCCCCTAGAAAGTTTTCTGCGGGCGCCCATGGGTCTGTTATAATACATTATATCAATTAAATACATATAATATGTCTGTAGTGAAAAGAAATGAAAATTTTTACACAATTTTGTGATCTAGCCAAGTATTATCAAGAAATAAAAATTCTTACAGTTGATCAAATTCACTTGAGGTATTCTTTGTTTCTTTTATTAATATCCCTAGCATAGCCAAGCCCATGATTTGTATTGTTGCCAGCCACAGGACGATCTTCCCCTGACATCACAGCATCCACTAGTTGTTTGTGTGGACCCTTCTTGTTCATGTGTAACCATTCCCTTCCCTTTACTTCAACCTCCTGTTTTTTGTGTGCTTAAAAGAAATAAGTCAAAAGTCATAAGAAGACAAATATATTGCTCTAGTTGTATGTATTATCCAATAGACATGACTGTTGTGAGTGTTTCTGTCATCTTTCACCTTCTTGTCTGTCATATTCTCAAATGTCCATTGTTTGCTGTATCATAGGACTTTGGCAAGTATCCCCGTATGAGAACATTTGTTCAAGAATACATCCAGGCCTTGAACTGTCAGAATGATGGCCTTAAAGTGGTACAAGCTTTGGTCAAAAGGTAGGTCACAATGCATCTAATCTGGTGTGTGGAAACCTCCTCAGTTGTCTGAATTCATTCAATGCTGGTATCCCTTTCCATGTTCATCTATTTTGATTGCATAATCTATAGTTTGTTTGCCTATTATTAATCACTATATCAGCAGTGTTAGCATTCAGAAACATTTTTGTAACAATTTTAAGAAGCTATAAATTACATGTTTTAAATGTATTTTTATTTCTCCACAAATTCGTTTTGTCTGAAGAATTGTGTCATAGTTAATTAAATATATTTTCAGCTACTATATAAAAACATCAGTTTAACACAAAATTTACAATCAAACATGGTCTGTAGACTAGCAAACCTTAAATGAAATTATATTCTCAATTTATCCTTATACAGCATGCATGGTCCAAGCAGCCACTGCCCGCATCCCCGAGTACTGCCCAATCTGGTCGCTGTGTGCCTTGCTGCCATTTACAATTGTTACGAAGAGAGGAAAAAGTAAGTTGGCATTACTTTATTGCTCTCTGTCAGTAACACAGCCAAGACCCACAGATGCAAGAATTCTTCCATCATAGACAAACCAGTCAACTTGAACTTAAACTTTGCTAAAAATAGTTTGTTTTTTTTTAAGTTAAAAAAATAATTCATCTTTATGTGAGCATTAATATTTGGCTAAAAGTTTGGCAGTTGACTTTAAAGGAAATATTTTGTTCCAAATATCTTCATAGACTTCAAATGGTTAGGAATTTAAAAAATAAAAAAAAACAGAACAGTAGAAATATTGATGTTGCCAAAAAAAAAAAAAAATTTTATTGAATCTTTTTCTTTTGTCCCCCAGCTTTACACATGATAATGTCAACAATGAAGATTTTGACCAAATCGAGTGGGAGAACAAACTCTTGTGTTATGTATCAATGATGGAGACCATGTAAGTAGACAGGTCAAAGTTCATTCAATGTGGACATACCGTGGGACATTTGATTGCTCAGTGGACAGACTGCTGACGGAGTAAGATAATACTAAATGGTACTAAGACAGCTGTAACAAAAATAATTCCTCAATAGTCTATGGTACTTTCAAGTGTAATTGTGGGAATCCCTCGTTAAATTTTGAACTGGAGCAACTGTTCATATGGCGCTTTTAAACTTAAGAGTTCCCGAATGTATGGCTTATTAAACAATTTCACAATGGCCACTCTCATGTTTGCTTGTGTTGTACCTAGGTCAGAGTTTGATGACTGGAGATTTGTCCTTGGCAGTTTACTTCAACCGATCCCTTTCCCTGATGAGTAAGTACACAACCATTCATTTAAGTTACATTTTTTTTTTGCCTGTTCTGCTTCCAAGCTTTAGCAGATAACACATTTTTTTAAAAATGTTACCAAAATTGCCCTATCCTTCAGTTTAAAAAAAAAAATATATATATATATCAAATAATTGGTTTAAAGCTGGAAAAGCAATATAGCAATCATTGTTTCTCTTGTTGTGTGATATCAAAGTGCCTCTCAAGTGAACAGAATATTCACTTCCTTAAAAGCTCTAGCAATAGCTAGACAGCACTGGTTGAAATCAAGGACTCTTTGTTTCTCGAGTGTTCTATTGATTTCCTCTAACCAGTCGTTTGTCAACCAGTTACACTGAAATCACGCATCTGATTTTGCTCCTCTTGGTTTTTTAGCTGAACATTGGATTTAATAAGGCTGTTAAAAATGGTTATCAATACATCAGTGGAAAGGATCTATGCTCGTCTGAATAGAGCACCCACAAATTATTACTTTTATACATTAAAATGGAACCTGTGTTGGGCAAATAAAATAACTCTCTTTTTTATTTAATAGTGTGCTTCATAGTTGTTATAAATTATCAAATGATCAGGGGGCTTGAAAGTTTAAAATATTTTTGTTTGTTTGTTGAAAAGATGGTTAAAACAAGGGTTGTGAATAACTTGTAAGGGTTTGTTCTCTCACAATGTAAAATCATTGGGAATGTTCAACTCTTAATTAATGCACGCCATTTTCTGGTGAACAAATTTAAGAATCACATACCACCTTCAAGACTGAAACTTGTTATCTTTCTGGAACATATCGCTATCAACTAGTGGCGTGAAACAATTTTTTTTTTTAGGTTTTCTAAAAATGTTTATTGAAAATATTTGGATCTTAAACAATTAACAGTCCCACATATCTGTCCCCACCCATGAACAGTCCCACATATCTGTCCCCACCCATGAACAGTCCCACATATCTGCACCTCCCCCCACCCCCCATGAAGAGTCCCACATATCTGCCCCCTCCCCACATTTAAAGGGCTCACTTATCTTCCAGCCTTCTGTCATTGACACACAAACCTAAAATATGTGCCTGCGTTTTAGCTGATTAATTATAATGTTTTATATGTGTGATGTGTGAGCAACTACGAGTTTTGGAACCCCCCCCCCCCCCTTTTTTTTTGTTTTGTTTTTGTTTTGTTCACCCAACATGCCGCTATCACAGCTACTAGCACTCCTGAACAGCCATAAAGCATATCAGAAATCCTGTAGGTGTGGTCACACCAGATGGCAGAGTGCCAAACACATAAAGGGCAGTAGCATTGCCAGGAGAATGGGTGGCCATCTGGCAGTGTTATGTCACTGGTCTCTGGTCTTGCAACATTAGGAAACAAAGGGTATGATGGACCGCATTATAACAGTAGTTGAAGAGGTTGTTGTTTTTTTTTTGCAACAGATATTTTATTGAAAACAAAGTTAAAGGGTAAAAAGCAAATGAAAAGTGCATGCATAGAACCAGTACATTTTTTTTAAAACATAATTTTTTGTAAATTTTACCTTAATAGTTTTCTATTACTATTTATTAAATTAAGGTAAAATTTACAAAAAATTATGTCAGTTTTCTATTACTATTTATTAAGACTAGCTAAATGAAACTGCAAAATCTAACTGAAACTTCAGATCCATAGTTGAATGATTTAGTTTAACCCAAATCATGGAGGCTAAAATTACGACTGAGACAGATACTGGCCTGGAAATGCTGAATATTAGCTAATCCGGCACATACTCACATACCCGGACACAGCTAAAAAAATGGAACCAGGTCCGGGTGTTACAAAAAAAAAAAAAAAAAAAAAAAAAAAGAAACCAGGGCGGGGTATTAAAAAAAAAAAAAAAAAAAAAAAAAAAAAAGTTATCTTTTCATTTTCTTGAATGTATTCCACATTATTGGGAGGAAATAAAAAGTGCATGCACAGAACCGGTAAATTTTTTAAAACATTTTTTGTTGTTAATTTCACTAGAATTTAATAAATAGTAATAGAAAACCTGACTAGCTGAATGAAACTGCAAAGCTCTGAAAATAATGATGTACATTTTACAAATTTTGTGTAATTGTTTGTTTTAGCCGGATGCATGTCTTTGGGTATGACCGTGGCACTTTCTGTTTAAAATGAATATTTCATGGTGATACTGAGAAGCCGCAAAGTTTGTGTGCGGATGTGTTTTTCGTCCCAACTTCACTCCCAAATACGTTGGTGACTTGTCCCGTTTGTGCTTGTAAATATTTAATGAGGGATAATGAATCCAGAATTAGCGACCTTTAAAGAATGTAAAACTCTGAAAGTGTTGAGGTTTTTTTCTATAGGTGGTTTGTATCCTACTTTTGCTGGGTTAGGATTATGTTATTAAGCTATAAGTGTTTTGAAGCATTTAACTTTGATGCCTTCCTGTTACAGCCTGTGTGTTGACTTACTTTGCTTCAACCACTTGTCTCCCCTCTTTTTGTTATGATGTTGTCCTCACTGATTAAATGTGTAGCGCTGTACCACACCCACCCCTCCTTTCATTGGGAAAATGATGTTTACCTTCTAATTTAGTCTAGAGAATGATATCGGGTCATGCAATTTCTAGAATTTCTTTTCTGTAGGATCCAACTCGCTCCCTATAAATAAGCTAGCAGCTTTCCCAGCTGGGTACTGGTAAATGTCACATACAAAATACCCACAAAACTGAGTGCCAAAAAACTACAACCGTACACTGAACAAATACTAGGTGACTATCAATGTGTATTCAGACAAAACAGGTCAAGGACTGCAGATTTTCCCTATCAGATGCCTATTAAATAAATGTTATGAATACAATATCCCAGCACATCAACTCTATGTGGGCTATAAAATGGCCTACAGCAGCATTAAAAAAATATCTTTATGAGACTCTGCAGGAGTTGGGCATACCCAAGAAACTGACAAGACTGATATTTGCAGCAACAAACAATTCAAAAAGCAATATCAAGGTTCAAGGAGAATATAGAAGGAATTTCAGATTACACGAGGCCTAAGACAAGGAGACTCACTGTCTTGTGTTCTATTTTAACATTTAACCTAACATTAGAGAGAGTTATAAGAAACATACAGATTGACTCCCGAGGAACAATAGCAGGATACTTTCTGAGGGAGACCCATGACCCACAAACAATAGGCACTCTCTTCAATAACCCCTTCAGTATCTTGCATATTCTGATGACTTAGCACTGTTAGGGAAGAGTATTAAAGACATATCAGAAGCCTTTATTGAATTAAAAAACGCATCACTAAAAGCAGGGCTAGAAGTTAACAACAACAACAACAAAAATACATGACTATGATAACAGATGAACAGACAGATGAAACCATTAAAATTAGAAACAACACTTTTGAAAAAGTGAATCTAATTCCTAGGATCTTCATTAAATGAAAGAAATGAATTACTTATAAAAAAATATTAGAAACAGAATATCCACCGGAAACGGGACATACTACAGTAGTCAGAAAATATTCAAAAGTAAAAATATTATGACAAAAACAAAGAAACCTATTTATAAAACTGTAACCAGACCAGTTGTAACATACGCAGGTAACAAAAAAAAGTCAGAAAACCTATTAAACACATGGGAGAGAAAAGTTCTCAGGAAAATATATGGACCAACAAAGGAGGAATATGGATGGAGTATAGGAACCAACCAGGAATTGTACAGTCTATATCACCAGGATCCCAAGCTAGTAGCAACAAAAGGGCAGGCTGCACACCATCTTCACTCCTCCGTCATTTGGCATTCTTTATTTGTTATTTTCTTATGCTCCATTTTCTTTCTTTCTTCTTTTTTGTGTGCCTAAAATTAAAATTCGGCAGCTTACATCAGAATGACAAAGGAGTGAAGAGGGTGCACCACCAAAACCCCAGAGGAAAACGTCTCAAATTCAGACCTAGGTTCAGATGGATGGATGATGTGGAGAAAGCTCTACAGCGGCTGGGAACCCAAGCATGGAAAAGAAAAGCATGGGTTAGGTCTGAGCGAAAGGAATTGGTGAGGCAGGCCAAGGACTACACTTTTTCACTTGCAGTCAGTGCTGTAACTTAATAAAGTTTGATTTGTTATTGTATTTTATATAAACGTAAAGTATATTTACATTGAAAAGTTTTAATATCACTCACTAGTTTGGGAAGCGTTTTTCATTGTACTGTAACGAGCCAAATGTTAAAGCTGATTGAATTTGAAAAACCATTTAACTAAATTTAGGTAACACTTCGGGATCACTAAAGGTTCTGTACATGTACTTTCCACTTCTCCCGATTGGGTGGATCACAATAAGAGAAGATAAATCTTTCTTTTGTATCATATATATATGTGTGTGTGTCATTTGAACAAAACGATGGTTGCCGTCTCTTAGAATGTTGCAAATACCCCACTGAAAGGTACTGCCCATTAAGACCTGCCTGTTACAAGAACTCTCACAAATTTTCATTAAATATTGTCTTTATGGCTACCATCAAACAAGTTCTTGGTTCCCAGTTCCTGGACTTGTTGTATCATGTCCACTATCCCACTGGTGGACCACTCAATGTGACCAGGGTGTCATAAACTGTAAAGGCATCTCGGTGGATACGGGATCAGATTTCTGCTCAGGCCGTCCCTTCCTGTTAATGAATAGCTCTCCAAATATGTGACATTTCTTGACTGACGTCTAGGATATCTGATAGCATTGGTTGGAGTAGGCCACATTGTGATGTGAGGAATCTGTTACACAGCATTAGGCCATATTGGTGGATGCATGATGAATTCATCATGACGTAAGTTGTGGGGAGAAATGAGGCTTCGTGTATCGCTGGAGATACGTGAGCCGTCCAGTGAAGACAGGGGGCCAAAAGCAAACCAATTTATGGAGCCAGCTGTCAAGATGTATTTTTTCCTACCATATTTCGATTCAGCCAACAGGTGGGCCAAGCAGTTCCAAAGAGATTAAATTGTGTTTTAACAACCCCAAATGTAGCAAAACAAATACCTTTAAAATGTATGGTATCAGGAGATCAGATCTCCAGTGCCCAAACTAGATGTGTGACCTATATGTGTTGACTCCATCGTAACTCCATTACACTGGCCAACATTTTTACCTGTATGTGTTAATTCCATAATATTTCCTTTACACATTTATCAGACTTGTGACCTTCATGTGTTGATTCAATCATAACTCCATTACACATACACAGATGTGTGACCTATATGTGTTGATTCCATCATAACTCCATTACACGGGCCAAATTGTTTACCTGTATGTGGTGATTCCATCATATCTCCATTACACATCATACTCGTGACCTGTGTGTGTTTATTCCATCAGAACTCCATTACACGTACCAAAATGTGTACCTGTATGTGTTGATTCCATCATATCTCCATTACACATACACAGATGTGTGACCAGTATGTGTTGATTCCATCACATCTCCATTACACGGGCCAAATTTTTCACCTGTATGTGGTGATTCCATCATATCTCCATTACACATCATACTCGTGACCTGTGTGTGTTTATTCCATCATAACTCCATTACACGGGCCAAAATGTTTACCTGTATGTGTTGATTCCATCATATCTCCATTACACGGGCCAAAATGTTTACCTAAATGTGTTGATTCCAAAATAACTCCATTACACATACCAGACTTGTGACATGTATGTGTTGATGCCATCATAACTCTATTAGACATACACAGATGTGTGACCTATATGTGTTGACTCCATCGTAACTCCATTACACTGGCCAACATTTTTACCTGTATGTGTTAATTCCATCATATTTCCTTTACACATTTATCAGACTTGTGACCTTTATGTGTTGATTCAATCATAACTCCATTACACATACACAGATGTGTGACCTATATGTGTTGATTCCATCATAACTCCATTACACGGGCCAAATTGTTTACCTGTATGTGGTGATTCCATCATATCTCCATTACACATCATACTCGTGACCTGTGTGTGTTTATTCCATCAGAACTCCATTACACGTACCAAAATTTGTACCTGTATGTGTTGATTCCATCATATCTCCATTACACATACACAGAAGTGTGACCAGTATGTGTTGATTCCATCACATCTCCATTACACATACACAGAAGTGTGACTTGTATGTGTTGATTACATCATAACTCTATTACACATACCAGGCGTGTGACTAGGGTTGCCAACTTTACAATAATACATTTTGATGACAAATATTATAATCTGCACATTTGTTACGGACCCATGTTTCTGACACGTTTTAACATAAACTTGAAAAAAGAAAAAATGAGCCTATTTAATACCTTGAGTTCATTGCATGAAATTCTCACCAGTTTACATGCAATCTCTCCCGCTTTATGCTGATACAAGTTTAAAGAACATTTTTTTTCTACAAAAAAAAAAAACAACACATATACAATCACAAACACGAGATTTCCTCTTTGTTTTGCTTCAGAAGATTTGTGTACGATGTCTCATTTTTTTGGCATGGTTGGCACCCCTGATTGCGACACACGTGTTGATTCCATCATAACCTTGATTGCGACACACGTGTTGATTCATCATAACCCCGATTGCGACTCACGTGTTGATTCATCATAACCCGGATTGCGACACACCTGTTGATTCCATCATATCCACCCAGACTAGACACAAGATTTGAATTGAAACATAATCATTGGGGAATTGAGTTCGTTGACGTTGTATTAAATGCGTACGACTTGGTAACTCCGCAAATTAGTTACCTTTGTTGGAGGGTGGGGAGGGGGGGGGCACACATTCACTACTCGCCACCTTTCCCATTTCTATCCTTTGAAGTTCTGTGTGCACTTTGGGACGTATTGACGAGGGTTTAAGTGAGTNAACATAATCATTGGGGAATTGAGTTCGTTGACGTTGTATTAAATGCGTACGACTTGGTAACTCCGCAAATTAGTTACCTTTGTTGGAGGGTGGGGAGGGGGGGGGGGCACACATTCACTACTCGCCACCTTTCCCATTTCTATCCTTTGAAGTTCTGTGTGCACTTTGGGACGTATTGACGAGGGTTTAAGTGAGTCCGATGATTGTAGGTCAGCGCGTGTCGCGCCGTGATCAGATAAAACTCATCTCCATCTGATCGTGACGTGGGAACTCCCTCGTGTTATTTCTATTCCACCAGTTCTATCATGGAGTTGGCATTATCGAAGTCATTCTGGGGCTAAATTTCTCTGTGACTTCAATGTCCCGAGGCGATGTGGGCAATCGTCTCTTCCCCGGCGGCAAACCTATTAAGCGCAGCTCGTCTGGGGTGTCTTACATTTCAAACACCTTGTTTTATCTTCTGGCTTTAAGTTTGAATCCTTTGCAATATACCATTAACAACAGGGGCTGTTACTTTTTATATCAATTATTCCAGGGTGAATAGATGAATAACTATATTTAGAGCTGGTATTCTTCAATCTCTATATGGCAGTGATCTTTAGTGGCCTCTGGAACATAATAGTTTATAATTTTTTTTATCTCGTATGTATGTGGAGACATTTTGTGACACCATTCTATGGACTAGTTTTGACAGCAACAACAAAAAAAAAAAACAACAACAACAACAACAAAAAAAAACCGTTTAATTCCTTAAACCTTAAGATGACTGGAATTTTTTTAAATAAAAAAATATATATACTTTGTGGCAATTTTTAATTGATTTAAATAGTTTCTTTAATTTGAGCAAGTGCATTGTATTGTCGGATGAATGATGTGGTCAATGAAGGCTATATTTAAAACAATGGCTGCATCACACTGATTAAATAACACGGGCCGAGACACCTTTTAAACACCCTGACTTGTCACTAGGGACAGGTATACACACACTGTAACACACACACACACGTTTTCCTTGCTTGATGTTTCCTCTCAAGTCCCCATGCCCTCGTTACGTGAACAATTCTTGAACTCTGGCGAACTTATTGATGGCCATTAACTGAGCAAAAGATAAGCAGATTAATGACTGACCGCCTCAATTAGGTCAATCTCAGGAACTGGGGATACATTAAATTTTTTCATAATTTATTTCAACCACATTTAGTTGGGCTTGGCCCCTGAATCCAATTCTATTTATACCGCACCAATTATTTACCTTATCTCTTCATTCTTCCATCGTATGTTTATAAACAGAGCACTGCCCGAAATACCAGTGAATAAGCTTTTTCACCCTAACCCACCTTCTGTGCTATTATATTTCATAGCTTGGAGTCGCAAACAACGGGACACTCTAGGATTAGCACTTCAGTATAGTATATGGCAGTGGTCAGCATATCGCGGCTCGGCCAGCCGGCCAAAAATCGGTTTTGACTACGAAAAACATGGTTCTTAAAAAGAAATTAGGCTCTCAAACAAATTTTAATTCCCCTCCTGATGATTTTTTGGCTCTTTTGACTGATGAGTTTGCCAGCCACTGGCCTATGGCGTTATGCGGGGATTTTAAAAAATGAAGGCTTAAAATAGGTTTTTTGACTTCTCACATCTGCTATTAAATATGATGGACTCCAACATCTCTTATTAAACATGGTTGACCCCAACATCTCCTATTCAATATGGTTGGACCGAACATCTCCTTTTAATTATGGTTGACTCCAACGTCTCCTATTGAACATGGTTGACTTCCAACATCTCCTATTAAACATGGCTGACTCCCAACATCTCCTGTTACACATGTTTGACTCCCAACATCTCCTGTTAAACATTGTTGACTCCCAACATATCCTGTTACACATGTTTGACTCCCAACATCTCCTGTTAAACATGGTTGACTCCCAACATCTCCTGTTACACATGTTTGACTCCCAACATCTCCTGTTAAACATTGTTGACTCCCAACATCTCCTGTTACACATGTTTGACTCCCAACATCTCCTGTTACACATGTTTGACTCCCAACATCTCCTGTTAAACATTGTTGACTCCCAACATATCCTGTTAAACATGGTTGACTCCCAACATCTCCTGTTACACTTGGTTGACTCCCAACATCTCCTGTGTCACTTGGTTGACTCCCAACATCTCCTGTTACACATGGTTGACTCCCAACATCTTCTGTTAAACATGGTTGACTCCCAACAGCTCCTGTTAAACATGGTTGACTCCCAACATCTCCTGTTAAACATGGTTGACTCCCAACATCCCCTGTTACACATGGTTGACTCCCAACATCTCCTGTTAAACATGGTTGACTCCCAACATCCCCTGTTACACATGGTTGACTCCCAACATCCCCTGTTACACATGGTTGACTCCCAACAGCTCCTGTTAAACTTGGTTGACTCCCAACATCTCCTGTTACACACGGTTGACTCCCAACATCTCCCACTAAACTCATTATTGTCACTAAATTGGCGCGTGTTTGCCCCTGACTTCATTTTGTTTAAAGAGTTCCAACCTTATCCGTCCATTTAGGTTTAGTTGGAAATATCATAATCGCTTTCTTTGACTGCCTTAAGTGCTGTTGTGAATGTATTTTCAGCATCAGCTCATCATGATCAATTTCAGACGGCAGCTGCTATGGCTATATATATATATCTAACTGTTATCATTTTACTGACGTTATTCCTTTCATTTGTTTCCTGAGTAAAAAAAAAATGAGGACAAGAACACAGAGTTGTTTTTCCTCGTGACACACCTTTTATATACATACATATATATTTATTTATAGCGTTGTTTGTTTTGTTTAAATGTAATATTTGTTAGGCTAATACTAAATTTGTTGGTATCATTTTTTTTTAAATAAAAAAAAGGAGGGGGGGGGGTGAGCAATATTGAGAGTTGAAGCCACGAACGTTGAATTAGCAGTATGTCCTACCTAACGCTATTAATTATATTGTTTATCTGTGTAATAAAAGAACGATAACATTCACACAAAGGTTGAACCAGTGCTTTCAATATTTTAAAATGCTGTCTGGCAACACAATAATTAGAGATAGTAGCCCCTCTCTTCTGTCCCTAGCAAGTGGCGCTAACCCCCTCTCTCTCTCCTCTCTCTCTTTCTCTCTCTCTCGCCGGAGTTGCTATACAATCCTTCGTTAAAGATAACAATTTATCCCTCGCGTACTTCGAAGCGCTCATGCTAAAGATACTAACAGGTTCTCGCTTGAGTTGCTTATCTCTTCCTTGCTACATATGCTAACCTTTCCCTTGCAAAAGAGGATAACCTTTCCCTTGCAAAATATGCTAAACTTTCTCATGCTAGAAATGCTAACCTTTCTCTCGCTAGAGGTGCTAATCTTTCTCTAGCGATGCTAACCTTTCTCTCGCTAGAGATGCTAACCTTTCCCTCGCTAGAGATGCTAACCTTTCACTCGCTAGAGATGCTAACCTTTCCCTCGCTAGAGATGCTAACCTTTCCCTCGCTAGAGATGCTAACCTTTCCCTCGCTAGAGATGCTAACCTTTCCCTCGCTAGAGATGCTAACCTTTCCCTCGCTAGAGATGCTAACCTTTCCCTTGCTAGAGATGCTAACCTTTCCCTCGCTAGAGATGCTAACCTTTCTCTCCCTAGAGGTGCTAACCTTTCTCTCGCTAGAATTGCTAACATTTCTCTCGCTCGAGTTGCTAACCTTTCTCTCGCTAGAGATGCTAACCTTTCTCTCGCTAGAGATGCTAACATTTCTCTCGCTAGAGATGCTAACATTTCTCTCGCTAGAGATGCTAACCTTTCCCTCGCTAGAGATGCTAACCTTTCCCTCGCTAGAGATGCTAACCTTTCTCTCGCTAGAGTTGCTAACATTTCTCTCGCTAGAGATGCTAACCTTTCTCTCGCTAGAGATGCTAACCTTTCTCTCGCTAGAGATGCTAACATTTCTCTCGCTAGAGTTGCTAACATTTCTCTCGCTAGAGATGCTAACCTTTCTCTCGCTAGAGATGCTAACCTTTCTCTTGCTAGAGATGCTAACATTTCTCTCGCTAGAGATGCTAACCTTTCTCTCGCTAGAGATGCTAACCTTTCCCTCGCTAGAGATTCTAATCTTTCCCTCGCTAGAGATGCTAACCTTTCCCTCGCTAGAGATGCTAACCTTTCTCTCGCTAGGGATGCTAACCTTTCTCTCGCTAGAGGTGCTAACCTTTCTCTCGCGAGAGTTGCTAACATTACTCTCGCGATAGATGCTAACCTTTCTCTCGCTAGAGATGCTAACCTTTCCCTCGATAGAGATGCTAACTACGCCCTTGGTGTAAAGCCCCGTATCAATAAAATCCAATCAATATCAATTAACAATTCAAACAATAAAACTCCTTAGCATGATGCACTCACACTTTTAATAGTTTAATAGCTGTACGCTTTTCTGAAACATTTATAATGTATATATTATTATGTGAGCTTTGCATATCAAAAATACACGTCACCCCAATATACATCACCCCGTTACACATCACCCCACTACACGTCACCCCATTATACATCACTCAATTGTACATCATCCCATTGGACGTCACCCCATTACAGATCACAACATTTTACGTCACTCCAATACACATAACCACATTATACCTCACCCCATTATACATCACCCCATTACACATCACCCCATTACACATCATCCCATTACACATCATCCCATTTTACATCACCCCACTACACATCATCCCATTATACATCACCCCATTATACATAACCCCATTATACATCACCCCATTACAAGTCAGCCCATTACACGTCACCCCACTATACATCACCCCGTTACATGTCACCCCATTACACATCACCCCATTATGCATCACCCCATTATGCATCACCCCATTACACGTCACCCACTACACATCACCCACTAGACATCACCCCACTACAGATCACCCCATTATACATACACCCCATTATACATACACCTCATTATACATTACCCCATTATACATCACCCCATTACACGTCAGCCCATTACACATCACCCCATTACACGTCACCGCACTACACATCACTACATATCACCCCATTACACGTCACCCCATTATTCATCACCCCGTTACACATCACCCCATTACACATCACCCCATTACACATAACCCCATTACACATAACCCCATTACACACTACCCCATTACACATCATCCCATTACACATCACCCCACTATAAATCACACCACTACAGATACATTCTAGCCTTTTCTTTGTTTGCAATCGTGTCAAACCCATTTGTGTGATACATGACTTCACGAAATATGCCCACCCCCCCCCCTACCACATGCACACATTTTAATGATTAAAAGAAACCCACCAAAAAGTCAAGTGTTCTTTTTGTTTCAATGATCAACTCTTGCATGTTGAATCCCTCACTCCACACACGCATGCGTCCAATATATTGGAAATAACTTTTTTTTTCTCTTTTATTTTCAGTGCAATCGCCGACTCCCTTTTCACATCGTAAGTATCTGATTTCATCAGTTTTCCAACTTCTTTAATTTGAAACAGCTATGTGTTTAGGTTACCGGAAATTTGATCGAAAGAAACTTCGTCGACGCTAAATTGATCAACGGAAATTTGATCGAACGGAAATTTGGTCGAATCTTTTTTTCAGTTCACACGTTAAAATTCTCGTCAAATCTCTTTTTGAACTCACTATATTATATTGTAAAACAAAATAATGCACATAGGCGATTTGCTGTTGGGAACCAGCTTATAATCCTAGAACAATAATCCCAGACCATCTCCATTGATGTATAGAGATCCGTCGTATGTTTGAGGTGGTCACCGATGAAATCTCAAGTACTTATAAATCCTACAGGTGCTCCGTGTGGTACATGGGGAAAATTAACTCCCGTGCTTACCTATACTTGAAAGAGTAGCACAAGGTATGTTGAGGCTTGAATCAAAAGACAGGACAATAAGATGTGAACGTTTCGGCCTAGAGCCTTCCTCAGCATACCCTGTTTTACTGTTTCATTCACATAGCTTGAAGGCAGTCCTTCAATTATTATTTACCTATACGTACAGCCCTACATGGCTCATTCCCGCGTTGACCTCCAATCACATCCTCAAAATGTCTCTTAAGTCCATCATTCTAACACTTGCATCTCTTTAAATCATCTTACATACATAATGCCTTACGCTATGATGGGTGCCCTGACTTAATGCATTTCTTATACCCATCATCCAGTGGCGTAGCTAGGTTTAATGCCGCCCGGGTCGGACAAAGACTTTTGCCGCAGCGACCACGAAAAAACCCTTGTAGTTCGACGAAAATGCCGCCACTCAGTATATAGAGGAAAAGTGCCGCCCGGGGCGGACCGGCACCTCTGCATTCCCCCTTCCTACGCCAGTGTACCCACGGTGTCTTACATGTTAAGGCTTATCGCAAAATGTCTCCCTATTTGTTTTGTTTACAACAAAATGAACATCTCTCCTATCAGCTTAGTACAGCGACTGCTCTAAAGGCCTGGGACTAATTCCGCTAATGACGTCATTCCGTTTAAGAATCTATATCGACTTTCATGTGGTTGTGTCCAAGCAATGACGCATCTCCCGTGTGGGGATTGTAATATTTCCTTCTGATATTTCCTTGTCCTCTGTGTCTATTGATCATCGAACCAGAATTCAAGAACCTAAATCATTTAAAGTGGCTATTTATATCCAGCATTCCATTTTTAAAACTCTATTTTTAGAAGGAAACTTAACCCACCCCCGCCCCCCACAGCTCTCCCATCTCACTATTGATATAACAATAAGGTATGTAATCAGGCGTCAGTGAAGCTCCGATCGTGCGCAAGCTCAGCACGTTAAAGACCAGGGACTCTCTAACAGTAGGCGCTCGGATCGATGAGGCCGGCTCGCACAGGTGACTGGGGGGCTAAGACGTGTGACGTCAGCTGGACTTTTTTTTTTTTTTTTTTTTTCTTTTTTTTTTTTATTTTCCTCTTTTTTGGATGGTTGGTTTTTAAAGCCATTAAAGGTATCTAGTTGGCACGGATGTCCAAAGAAATGTTTGCACGTGGGGGCATCAGTGTCCGCTGGGGAATGGGGGGGGGGGGTGGCGCGATGCGTTTTGACAACAAATCCTCAGAGGATGAATCACAAAATGTCGATTTTGCATAGAACAGCTATTCACAACTAAAATTTGACCATATTTTTTTTCTTTAAAGATATAGTAGGCTAAATGTCTGAAAGATAGGGTGAGTAGGTAAGTAAATCTTAGAAGCTTGGAAATATTAGTAATAGTATTTTGAAAAAAATGTTAGTATTGTCTACCACAATGTTAGTATTTTGACCAAGTTTTAGCAAAATCCGGGGGGGGGGGCGTTTGATATCTCTCTGTTTCTCTCTCCCCGCCCCCGTTGCGGACGCCCAAGCTTGTTGGGTAGGAAGATGTGCCAGGGTGAGCTTAGATTAATTAGTTGGTCTACACACATAACTTTAGTGTGTTTGAGGACAACCTCGTCCCAACCTTTCTTTAAAGATGTTTGTTGTGCACATTTGTGTACGGAACTGTGCAAAATGAAATTGTTAAAAGTCCCTCAACGTTTAGTGACCTAAATGAGATTTAAATGTGGATACTGTGGTCCGTGTGGTCATACGAGGACGTCCTTTCTACGTGGCATCACTCTGATTTCTTGTTCTTGTTGAATGCATCACTAGGGCTAGATCCGAGCTTCTCACATTTTCAGTGTGATGTACCAGCGTGAAGTTGCTTACACAATAGGACCCGTTACTCAGTTTATAGACGGTTCTTTTTCGGTTTCTTTCCTTTTAAATGTGCTACGTTTGGCGGACCAGCGTCCAAGATTGGAGCCCATTAGTTGGTTAAAATGCTCCCTTGGTTATGTGACTCGTGTCGATCCCATGTTACAGCAAACCTTTTATTTTCCATCTTGCTCATTTCACTTTCCGTAACCCATGTCATAGGACGCCACGCCTTCAAGTTAAATGCAAGAGATGCAGATATTTAGTTGCTCTGTGTCATACTTTTTTGAGAAAAGGAAATCTGTTTGTATCAGTCGTATGGGATCATTTCTAATTACTGAATGAAGGAAAAGACAGGTTTTCTTGTACACTAAACTACGTGGGCTGCCGTGTGGTCTAAACTTAGCCAGTCTCAAGTTCATGGTCTGGAGTTCAATTCATTGTCTGGAGTTCAATCCCCACCAAGCCCAGTCAAGCAAAAACATCACCAGCAACCCGTATGGCAACTCGTCTAAGAGAAGGGAACTCTGAATTCAAACCCGGAGATGGAGTCCCGTAGGCGGATAACATTGGCACGATTGAACATTCCGGCAAATCCTGCGACGCCACTGGTGCCAAGCTTTATCATCCGCATGATGTTCCCTTTGGGTTATCCAGCGGCGTGGAGAGAGGCGAATTACTTATATCAGGAGCCTCTTAAGATCTGTGGATGTCTTCTCGTCGTGCGCCCTAATCCGATTTGACGGTGGTCATGCATTGATCCGACATATGGATATCCTTAATCGTGGTCGAGCATAGTTTGATATTTTCAAGCATAGTTTGATCATGTCAAGCATACTTCGATCGTGCCAAGCATAGTTTGATCTTTTCAAGTATACTTTGATCGTGTCAAGCATAGTTTGATCATGTCAGGCATAGTTTGATCGTGTCAAGCATAATTTGATCATGTCAAGCATACTTCGTTCGTGCCAAGCATAGTTTGATATTTTCAAGCATACTTTGATCGTCGTGTCAAGCATAGTTTGATCATGTCAGGTATAGTTTGATCGTGTCAAGCATAATTTGATCATGTCAAGCATACTTCGTTCGTGCCAAGCATAGTTTGATATTTTCAAGCATACTTTGATCGTGTCAAGCATAGTTTGATCATGTCAGGTATAGTTTGATCGGGTCAAGCATAATTTGATCATGTCAGGCATTGTTAAAGGTGTCAAGCATATATAGTTTGATCGTGTCAGGCACAATTTGATCGTGTCAAGCATAGTTTGATCATGTCAAGCAGAGTGTGATCGATGTCTATTAAAGTTTGATCCATGTCATCTATTGATCTGACGCATGGGCAGCTTTAATCGTGGTCAAGGATTTTTTCTGATCCTTCTCTATCTGTGAGCTGACAGGGAATGCACTCAACATTGGAGACCGTGAATATTATATAGCAAAACTTCAAAGCTATGACTAATTTAATGGGCACGTGTAGAGACATAAGTGGGCACATACTGAGACAGTAAGCATATATAGAGAAATAAGTCGGCACATACTGAGACAGTAAGCATATATAGACAAGTAAGTATATAGAGAGAAATAAGTGGACATATACTGAGACAGTAAGCATATATAGACAAGTAAGTATATAGAGAGAAATAAGTGGACATATACTGAGACAGTAAGCATATATAGAGAAATAAGTGGGCACATACTGAGACAGTAAGCATATATAGAGAAATAAGTGGGCACATACTGAGACAGTAAGCATATATAGACAAGTAAGTATATAGAGAGAAATAAGTGGACATATACTGAGACAGTAAGCATATATAGAGACAAGTAAGCATATATAGAGAAATAAGCGGGCACATATAGAGACAAGTAAGCATATTTAAAAAAAATAAGGGGACACATAGAGACAAGTAAGCATATTTAAAGAAATAAGGGGACACATATAGAGACAAGTAAGCATATTTAAAGAAATAAGGGGACACATATAGAGACAAGTAAGCATATTTAAAGAAATAAGGGGACACATATAGAGACAAGAAAGCATATATAGAGAAATAAGGGGCACATATAGAGACAAGTAAGCATATTTAAAAAAAAATAAGGGGACACATATAGAGACAAGTAAGCATATTTAAAGAAATAAGGGGACACATATAGAGACAAGTAAGCATATTTAAAGAAATAAGGGGACACATATAGAGACAAGGAAGCATATATAGAGAAATAAGCGGGCACATATAGAGACAAGTAAGCATATTTAAAGAAATAAGGGGACACATATAGAGACAAGTAAGCATATTTAAAGAAATAAGGGGACACATATTGTGACAAGTGAGCATATATAGAGAAATAAGTGAGCACATATGAAGCCTGGAGTGCTCATGTAGATTCATAAAGAGACATTAGTGAGCACATAGGCAGACATTGTTTGGTAAATGCTGAGCAATAACGCTGAGAACTAAGTGGACACAAACCAGAGCAATACTGCTGCGAACTAAGTGAGCACATGGAGAGAAATACAAGAGCACATGCAGGTACCCTAGAGTTGTTCCGTCAAAGGACATAGCCCGATGCCGGCTTTGTCGGGTTAGCTAGCCAGTTTTGTGTGTAGAGTGTAGAGACGTTTTATAAAGTGCCAGTGCCTGTAGCGGTGGAGTTAAAAACGAAAAGAAAAGAAGACTCTCTAGTTCCACTAGCTTCTCAAGCTGTTACCCTACAATGCAAAAAAAGAAGAGAAGTTCCGCCCCTGTTTGCGCTCCTGTTTGCGCTCCTGTTTGCGCTCCTGTTTATGCTGTTGTTTGCGGGTATGAAGTAAGAAACGGGCGAAAGATCATCTTCTGTCTAATCGATCGTAAGTGCTGTCGATTGGGGGGTGCAAGGTGTCGAGTATAAAGGGAAAAAATTATCGGTTCTCAACTTCAAATTGTGAATCGGTGGAGTACTTGTGTCATAGGGTGTGTCACCTTGCGTCATGTGATCAGGTTGTGTCACCCTGTGTCATTTGTTAATTGTGTCACCCTTGTCATATGTTAGATTGTGTCACCCTTGTCATATGATAGATTGTGTCACTTTGTGTCATAGAATAAATTGTGACACCCTGTTGTCATATTTTAGATTGTGTCACCCTGTGTCATATGTTAGATTATGTCACCCTGTGTCATATGATAGATTGTGTCACGTTTTGTCGTGCTCGGTGTCCACATGACCACACCGCCACATGCGTGCTCAACATTGGTATAAGATACACTTGACCCACGCCTTTCATTTGATCAATGTCCGAGAAAGCCTGCACATAGTGCCATGGCAGCTTGGTAGGAATGTCATTAAGCTCCGCCTTGAAAAGACTAAAAATTAACCCATCGTTCTTCCGTTGTGGACACGCCCTGCTCCACGTCATCTGCCAGTCACGGGGACCTGTAATAGCGCTTTCATGTTGCTAAATTGCCGTACTTCGATTTGTATCGTTGGAGATAGCGCATGATGATCATTGATCTATTAAAACGAAGACTTTTTTTTTTTTGTATTAAAAAAAAAACAAAAAAAAACAGACAACACCCAATTTTTCATGTTTCTAAATTGCCGTACTTCGATTTGTATCGTTGGAGATAGCGCATGATGATCATTGATCTATTAAAACGAAGACTTTTTTTTTTTTGTATTAAAAAAAAAACAAAAAAAAACAGACAACACCCAATAGCTGGGTAAGATTAAGAAATGTTGATTTTCTGAACATCCCTGGCCCACTTCAGAGACTGTGTATTGACGTGGTGGTGGGAAAAGTCAATTTATGGCTTTTTTTTTTCTTCTAGATTTAGTTGTTTTTAATGGCGCATTTGTTGGGCTGCGCTCTTCTTTAATTTTAAGAGGAAAAATATTGAAATGGGGAGGAAATCACGCGTCGTCATGAATAGACTGCTGGAGATATATTCCATAAGATCGTACCACAGTAACTTAGACTTCGGTGCGACTCAAGCCAGTGTTGTCATCGCGTCTCAGGGGTTAGACTATCATACAGCTCTAATGACCCGTCCATGAGTCGTGATCCTTAAGGCTTTAAAGAATTCAGATTTAATTAATTTTGAGTAATACTAATTTATCTACAAATAACTGAACCCCGACAATGAAGATTTGTTTCATCGTTGATATTTAATAAGCTCTTGAAAACCGAACCAAGTTTGGGACTCCCCCTCATTCGACTTGGAAGACTGGAGCCGTACAGTCAACAATCACAATTCAGTTGTCAGGGCCAACATTGGTCATTGAATTGGTAGCAGATATGCACACTTGATTATATTAAAGAGTTGTTCTCTGTCTCATCGGCCTTAACTTGAAAAAGAGTCTCTGGAAGTCCATGGGACAAGTTAATTGACAGACATCGAGCGTGTGTATGTGTGGACCATGCTGGTGCAAGCAGACAGTGGTGTGTGGGTGTGTGTGGGGGAGGCGTGTGTTTGTGAGTGGGGTGGGTGCGTGTGACTGTAGACCGTACTGGTGCAGACAGACATCACCCTAGACAAGATCGCACGACAAAGTTTCATTTCAACCGATGCAAAAGTGAATCTTTCATCTGTCATAAATGGAAACACAAATAATTCGTTGGGCCAACTGTCAAAACTGACAACACTATGGTATATCTCCAGAAAACATTTCTTAAATGTACAAAACAAAGACAACCACCCCCCCCCCCACCCCGTACTCACACACATTCAATCACAGTCACTGACACAGACGCACGCCTTCCATCTTGTTCCTGGTTGGCTTTATGTACCCAAGCATTAGAGACTATTAGCGAGGCGCCTTTCATGATGGCATCGTCGGTGGTTGTTGGAAATTTGCCGACGGTGGCTTCCTTGCGATCAACTAGATCTAAGGGTCATCGATCCAGTATGGACAAAGACCTACCAGATAAAAGTGATGTGCGGTGTTTGATCGCCGCTACAGGTTCAAGAATATACCGTCTATCAATTCCCCGTACACCCCCCCCCCCCCCCCCCCCCCCCCCCCTTTCCACGCTTCCTTTCCCGGGTCTTAAGTGTCGTCGTCGGATCTGACATTTTTAGGCTGAACTTAATGAGAGACCAATTTTGATTAGGGCGGTGGCAGAGAGCGGAGTGTGGTGTGTAATTATCGCCAATCGATAGTTGTGCCGGCGATTAGTCATTGGGTGCACCGGGGAGAAGGTGGGACTGACGGGAAACTGGATAAATATTACACCAGACATGCGCTGTTCATATTCCGGCATTTGCATTGGGTGGAACCCAAGACAGGGATTCCCAGACTTTGGTGTTTGGGTGATTAGGATTTGGGTTTTGCTTTAAATTAAAGAGAGGGAATGTTTAACACACACAAATTGTTTCTTCTGAACCACAGGTTCCCAACCTTTTTTTTTTTTTTTTTTTTTTTTTAAGTCTTGACCCGCGACTCAATTTTATGTTAGCGAAATGACTCGCGACCCAATATATTTGGTTTTTTCAAAGTTAATAGGGCAAAAGAAAACACGTTAAAATAGATTTATTGGTATAAAATAATTCATTAGTAATACATTAAATTTTAATCATGCACAAGCTTTAAAATTAGAGGTTGAAGTTTTGTTACCGCCAACCTCATCTCACTCTAAAAATTGTATCTACTTCTCCCTCTGTGTTTAAAAAAAAAAGCGTTGAAAATCCACACTCACAGGGATGAATAGAAGCAAATGGCAGTTTTCTGTTATTTTACTGAACTTTGCGACACCGATTAAAAATAAAAAATTGTTTTAAAATCATTCTTTCTTTTAAGTTTTCTATTTCGGCCGGTGACACCACAAAACTTTGAGTTGGGAACCAGGGTTTGTATTTAAGGGTCATTTCTTTTTTTGTTTATAATGGCACAAACATCTGAGCTGTCCAACAGAGATTTCATTATGAATTATAAATCAATTGTTTTAGCGGAGGATTATTTCAGTCAGTGGTTTCCCTTGCTTTAGACTCCAACAGACTACCAGAAGTGTACATAGCATATTGATATAATGACACCTGCACCAGCCCACCTAGCCGCGGTATAAAACCACTTAAAGATTACATTAACTCAACCAATACCCAAATCAACCTACCTAACGAACGAAAACAAAACCCCACCTGCGCCCCACACCGTGCCGTAGTCTGAGAACCTGTGACCCGTGGTGCCACGCCCAATCCCATAGGAACAAAAATCAATGCTAGGGGTAGCTGCAGTAAGTGCTGGTATTTCTGCCTTCCTTTTGTGGTTCAGTCCTTGTGACTGGTTGGTATTAAAACCTAGTCCTTACTAACTTCGCGAGTTCATTTCAAAAGCGTGTTGAATTATTCAGAGATTCTCAAGCAAACGTTCAAATAAAGTATTAAGCCATGACAAATAAAGAAGAAAAACTACAAATAAAGAAGAAAAACTATGTGTTCAAGCAACAGCTCTTATGATTACATTAGTAATAACCCAACAAACAAAGGCGGAAGCTGTGCCTGAGCTTTCCATCTAATAAAGTTGCTTTACCACAAACATGCATTCAAGTAACTCATTTCATACGAAAATCCACGTAATGCTAACTTCTGAGAATCTTATTTTGCGCGCCTATTGAATGCATTTTTACAGCAAAACATACATACTTATAGATAATTATGATTTGTGACTATTTATTGTGAAACTTTGACAGTAAGGCAATGTCGCAAAACATGAGTAACTTGTAAATGAAGTCCCTGCCTTCCCTCGCACCAAGAGTTTTGGTTATATGTTGATTAAAGATCTCATTAGATTGCTTCGTTATACATTGTTATAAGCTAAAAAGTCCTTAAGTTTATGACCAGGACTGGCTCACGTCCAGTTACCGGTATAGATGACAGAGGACAGATGATGTCATATGACATGTGATAATGACATAAGATGACTTATGTCATAGGAAAGAGTCAACATAAATTTCCCCTCACACACCACCCCCACAAAACATTTCAGCAACCACTCTGAAAACATAAAAAATGCAAGAAGAGAACATTTCCAACAACCATTTTCATAGTCTAAATATATCCTTGCTGTCTGATTATGATTAAAGATTTACTAATATGCCCTCTAATTGAGTTCTCAATTATCTTGCAGGCGCATGAAGGTGACCATTCACAATGTATCATCTGATGAGACTTGTACAGTTCACCAAACGCTGTTGGGCATCAGAGAGGGCAAGGAAGGATGGTTCCATCTCTACTGCCCTGGGGGCATTGCTTGTGATGATGAGGGGCAGCTATGGGGCGTAATGGTACAAAAAATAGAAATTAAAATTACATTTCTTGTTGTGTGTGTTTATTTGGTACATAAATGTTGAAAGAATTCGTAAATTCATATCAAACTTGAAAAAAGGAAAAAACAATATTTTTAGTACAATACTCCCAGAAGGTAAAAACAATATTTTTAGTACAATACTCCGAGAAGGTAAAAACATTTTTTTTAGTACAGTACTGAGATCACAGTACTAGCTCTAGTGGCTGTGGAAGAAAGTTCTGAAAGTTTTTTTTCTGACCTGTGGCCGCCATTTCATCCCCAGCTCAACACCCTGATGAAGTGCTGCTGCAAGAGGAAAAAGTTCCTGATGAGCATCTCCAAGATGATTGGTCCCATCATGCTCCTTGCACTCCGAGATAACTTTGCTGCCATTGAGGTGAGCTCATCCACTACTATGCCTACGGAAAAAAAAAAATTTGTCTTTCATTACATCAGAGAATTAAATAAATAAGCACATTATTTATTGATTTGTCATAAATGAATTTTTGAATGAATTGTTATGTGCATTGCCAAAGAAATATTATATAATTCTAAAAGATAATAGTTCAAAACCATATTGTTTAAGGATTACAGATTTAACAAATTTAACAGCCACTACAAGTTGTACTGGTATAAGCAATCCTGGGTATGTTCCAGGTGTGTTGTACCCCACTCTTACTCTCAACATGTTTGTCAATGTCCAGTACAAGCAATCCTGTGTATGTTTCCAGGTACTGTGTGCCATGCTAGAGCTGGAAGTAGTGGAGGGCCATGATATGAAGATGCAGATGATCACCACACTGCAGTCCACCTGTGAAGGCAAACGCATGTATGCCCAGCTGTGTGAGAGACAGATTGCCATCAAAGAAATGGTGGGTTGATTCATGGGATATTATAGAGTCATAACCAGGGTTGCACCGGATTTCAAAAAGGAAGATTATCAATGAATCGGCCAGAGATAATCAGACACTACCAATTAACTATTGCTTATTTATCTTTTTAATTAAAATTATTACTGTAACTATACATTTTAGTTAATTAATAAATGGTGCCTTGCCTCCCCCCTCCCCTCAATCCCAGAATAAATCATCTTCAAATAGTCCCCATGTGCAGCGAACGCAATCTTTAGTAAAATTGGTAATACAGTAATACCTTGTTTATCGCAGGCTCACTTTTTGCTGTTTTGCTGTCTCACTATATCGCAGATTTTTTACTTGTAAATATATCTAATATTTTATCGTGTTTTCTTTGCTAAATAGCGAGATTTTTTGGTATGTAGGGTTAATTATTTTTGCGGTAAAATAGGCATTTATAAAAGTGTTGGAAAGGTTATAACAGTATGGGAAGGTTTATAAGAGAGTGTGGAGGGCTTATAAGTGTGGGGAGGGTTTATAAGTGTGGGGAAGGTGACTGTTTGACTTGTACTATTCTTCGTTGCAGCAACAGAAAGGTGGTCCCAAGAAACTCACTCTACCCAGCAAATCCACGGATTATGACCTCACGCGGATGTTAAGTTCTGGATCATTTGGTAACCTTGAGTGCCTGAGCCTCGCTTTCACCCAGGTGACCAGTGCCTGCGCCAACGACCTGATCAAACTGCCATCACTTCGCTATCTCAATCTGTGGTCAACTCAGGCAAGTTTGGCTCATTTTGTTCCATGACTTTTAGCAGACCCCGCCTAACAAACATAAGAGCCACATCACAGAAATAATCACATTGTATATCTGTTTCTGAGATTAGGATTAGTGTTTTTCCCCCCTTAGATCACACTTACCTTTGTCTGATATTTCCTGGAATAATACTGTTAAATAGTGTTAACTGCAAATGTAATTTATTTTCCTGACTTATAGTACAACACAATTTAAATTATCTCAGATATTTAAATTTCAACAAGAAATACCACCTCTTCTGAAGAGTCAACTTTGTTCCTAGTTTCATATTTTAATAATTTATGCTGAGGTTGGAGAATGAAATGGAAAGCTACACTGGCTTACATTAATGGATCAATTTAACAGCATGTAAATTAGACAAAAATTGATCTTTCCAGTAGCTGCCCACTGAAGAATATTTTCTGTGGAATCCAGTAGAAGTGCAATTTGACTAGAACTGAAGATAGGGCTAATAAAAACTAAAGATTAAAACCAAGCAACTTTACCTTCTCAAGGAAAACCACTCAGAAGACAATGATCTTTTGGTCTGACCCCAAAATAAAAATTGTGCTCTTTTAAGGAGATAAGTTCATCATGAAAAAAGAAAGAAAATGAATGTTTTATCATCTTATTTGTTCCAGTTTGGTGACCAAGGTCTACAGATCATATCTGAACATCTTCACAAGTTACAAGTACTTAACTTGTGTGAGACACCAGTCACTGATAAGGGACTCACCTGCCTTGCTTGTATGTTGTTATTGTATATATAGATATATTATGTTACTATATATATTATGTTTATATAGATATAGATGTATATCTATCTACTGGGAGCACAGTTGATTTGATGTTCTTGGGCCACTGTTGGGTTGCCTTATAAGATCATAGTAGGTTTTCTCTGATACAGTTTTCCCCAACATGGGCCCCCCCCCCCCATGTAGAGCATTAAAAAGAGTATGTGGGTTATGATATGTGGGGTCATTTATATATTATGTTTATATAGATATAGATGTATATCTATCTACTGGGCGCACAGTTGATTTGATGTTCTTGGGCCCCTGTTGGGTTGCCTTATAAGATCATAGTAGGTTTTCTCTGATACAGTTTTCCCCAACATGGGCCCCCCCCCCCCATGTAGAGCATTAAAAAGAGTATGTGGGTTATGATATGTGGGGTCATATTGTCTCTGAGGTGTACACTTGTGTTAATCTTTCATGGGCCCACATAGATTGACTGGTCAACTTCCAGTGTTTCCCAATTGCTCCATAAGTGCATTTGGTCCCATATACTGTAGTTGATATATCAAATCACCTGAGCAAAATGGTCTGTCATTTGAGTGACAGACTTTCTGATTTAAAAGATATGTGTTTTGCTCCTTGCCTTACACAACAATGCTGGTGACTCTAAGTGTGGTGAAGTTAGTGAATCTAAATAGAATAACTGTGGTGATGCTAGTGAATCTAAGTGTGGTGGTGCTAGTGAATCTAAGTGTGGTGTGTTGGGAACTAATTGGGTTGAGGAACACTGTTCTAACAGAACCACAATTTGTCTCTGGACCTGTCCTCTATCCTAACCTTACATCAATTTTTCCCCAGCAATGAAAAGCCTACGTAAACTGAACCTCAACAGCACCAACTTGTCTGCCCTTACATTTGAAGGCTTGAAGGTGAGCTTGACACTGGTATCACTGTTAAAAACTTGGGCACACAATAACAATAACTCTTTTATTAAGTTGTTGCAATTATCTGCCCCTTGTTCATCCTATTGATTCACCAGCTCTGCTGAACAAAAACTGGATTGGATTCCATTTTGAGGCATAGATGACTGCCATGAATGCTTTTATTTCTTGGAGCATGGGGGATATATTGCTGCTCCGAAACATGAGAAATATGAGAAGCGCTGATCTGACCGCTGAGGTTTTCAAATTATTGAATGTCATGGCTACCGTGGTGTCCTTTCCTGGAATGGGAAGGAAATATCTCTAAGATACATTTCAGAAGCATTGATGTTACATTAGAGATTTTGAATGAATGTCTGATATCGATGTGGCTCAGTCTCAACAAATTATTGCTCTGACTCTTGTCAGATTGGTTTATCTTGCCGTTCCCCCATACAGTTTCTACTCAGGGGTGTCATTTCGGGGGGGAGGGGGGGGGGGCTAAAACCAAAACTTGGTCTCGGCTTGCTAAGTTGTTTATTACTGGAGGCGCCAGAGTACTTAGCAATTTAAATAAAACCTGCAGGGAGGAGGGGGGGGGAATATGTCCCACCCAAATGACGTCCCCTTTTCTGTTCCTCTGAAATATTTCTTTTACTGAGATATTTCAATGCTCCATTGCTGTAAATTCCATTAGCTTATAAATGACAATTCAAATTTAGTTTAGCTCTTAGTACTTTTAATCACCCTTTCAATTATCAAAAAAAGAACCATCAATTTTTATATATTTTTGATTAAGTTAATGATTCTAATACATTATTGCATGCAGACAAAATATTGTGCATCTCAAATTCTTACCATTATAACTATTATTAATCTTTAAGCATTCACATACAAAATTTAGTTACCTAGAGATAGGCAGCAACATACAATTATGAGTTCTTGTAACATTGCATTAACATACATTTTGATTTACTTGGAGAAAAGCTATTTCATAAAATATTTACTTACTTAAAATGAAATGGTATTAGCATAAATTATTCATTTACTTAAGAATTCACTTTCATAAAAATCATTCTGTTTTTGTAAGAAATAATGAATAAAAAAATGAATCACCTTAAGAAATACGTTTGAACTTGATAGGGAATTTGCGAATGTTTAAATTACTGCTTTTCAGACTCAAACAAATTTGAAAAAATCTTTTCCAGGAGAAGTTGCCAGCCCTACAAGAGTGCGATGTTCGCTACACTGACGCCTGGTGACTGTAAGCGCGAGGAGTGGGTCCCAAGTTCCAACTAGATTTGTCTAAGCCACAAATCTGGGAGAGTTGTCAATGACTCTGTCTCACTGCCTTAACGCGCACCCCCAAAATTAATACAAACTGTATGTGGATAAGTAGCTACACTTTGTGGATATATATATATATAGCTACACTCTGTGGATTATATAGCTACACTATTTGGATATACTACAAGAGGAGTTTTCTTACTTTCTTACATCCAAATATGGCGCACTCTGTACATCATATGTGGCATCATCTATCTCTCCCTCTCTCTCTCTCTCTCTCTGACACGCCTCAGCACTTTACAATGACATGTTCAGTCAGCGTGTCTGCTATACATTCTTATATTGTATGTTCTTGTTTGTCTCAAGCTACTCTCTTATTTGGTGAGAAATGGTGAGCAGACATACGTGTCATCCTCTGACAGAGTTGTCTCACTTTACAGTGCTGGAGTTTAATTCAGTTGTCATCTCAGTCCAGTGGAATGATATAAGAGTATGAGTTGACCTGTCCACCAGCAAATGCTGTGTAACAAAAGCAGGAAAAATGTGGTTTCATTCCAATTTCTTCTAGTAGTGATTTTTTAAATGTATTTTTTTTTACTTAGCAGTATTTGTTATCAAGTTATTGTTTGTGGGACCCATATTGGAGAGTTTGTGTAACCTTATTAAAATCACAAAAATTCCTTAGAAAGAAATGTCTCAAGACTTTGTCATTGTGATCAGGTAAAGACAACAGACTACGGCTCTCATAAGTTTGTGCTAATTTTTTACGTTACCAGAATATTTACCAAGATTATTCTAGGTGTTAATCAGCTTAGTTCTCTTTTTTTTTTTTTTTTTTTTTTTTTTTTTTTTTGAGGAATGTTCCTTAAAAATGAGCTGTTTGATTATTTTAACCCTGTTAAAAAGGGATCTAAAATGGGCCATAAATGTGTTCAGTCGTAAGACAGTTTGGTCCAATTTATTATTTTATTAAATTGATCTGTCTGGTGTAATTTGACAATATGAAACACACCACATGGTATGTCCAGTCATGAAAATGTTGGTGTGTTATTGAACCACCCCCCCCCATGCGGATGGTAGGATTAATTGCAATGAAATGTCAAAGTTCAACCTGCTGAGGTCAAATGATGCAGGGCAACTTTTTCTTGGAAAAGTTACTTCTTCTTGGAAAAGTTACTTCCAGCTTTTGCTCTCACCAGCCCACTAATATAGGCCTTAAAACAATTTTTTCTATACTATGTCCATGTATTGACTCTATATTATACCTATACATATACACATATATATATTTCTAAATTAATAATGCTATCTTCATTTCTTTTATTTAAACAAAACGTTATTGTTGTTCCCCCCCCCCCCATCTTGCTACTGTAAACACTTTTGCCATGTTCCTCTTTTTTTTCTATGACTGGAACCATTTTGTTGCGATAGGAGATAACACTCTCCTCTTCCATTGTTTCCTATCTTTCTCTGTTGGTCTTGACTCTATATTATACCTATAACTATACACATATATATATTTCTAAATTAATAATGCTATCTTCATTTCTTTTATTTAAACAAAACGTTATTGTTGTTCCCCCCCCCCCATCTTGCTACTGTAAACACTTTTGCCATGTTCCTCTTTTATTTCTATGACTGGAACCAGTTTGTTGCGATAGGAGATAACACTCTCCTCTTTCATGGTGTCCTATCTTTCTCTGTTGGTCGGACCTGAACATCACAACGCTAAAACACAACCTATCTTAGTTGAAGGGTGGCCTTCACTTGCTGGTTGTAAATTTTTTACTTTTTTTTTTATACATGTCAAAGCACATTCTGAAATGTCAAACTTTTTCTTTCAACTGCATTTGCATTTAAATGTTTCCATGTGCTGGATGACTTGATATCTATTCACCAAGTTTGTGCTGGCCATATTTCAAACTTTCAATGTTTCCATTGTTTCACTGTACCGGTACCAAGCAACAACACATCACCACAAGAACAGCAGCAAATCAAAACATTTGTTCTTTTTTTTTTTTTTTTTTTTTTTTTTTTTTTTTTTTCCTCCCTCATACAGAAAAATTTGTCAAATACATTAATAATTTATTGTCCAAAGTGAGTCTACTAAACATGAGATGATTTTTGGGTTGTTTTTTTCTAGTGCACGATAGTTAGGCACGTAAGAGTAATATCCACTTGTTTCAGCCTTTATTATGATTTTATCCAGCTTTGTAATGGAGTAGTAAAAAATATATATATATATTTATATATGTCGCAGCTCGCAAGTCCCATTTATTTGCTTCTATGACTGTAGACACATGCTGAAATATTTACAGCTACTCTCAAATTTGTTTGGATTGAATTCTTTAAGCTTACTTCAACTTACCAGCAACATCGGGGCCCACCATGTGTCCTACCAGCGATTCTCACACTATTCAAATTTGTGCCAACTTAAACATTCAACAGGTCTTTTCATAAAAATCTTTCTGCCGTGAAACTTTTGAGTGTTCACGATTTTCCTTTTAGGTGTCCTGAATGACCAGTCAACATATGATGGTGACCCTGTAAGTTACTGTAATACGCCTGATTGGATAGTGTATATTTGAAAGCAATTCTTAATTATTCTATGAAAAAAGCTATAGACCAATGTATCCCCAGTGATGTTAATATTTATATATTTCTGGAATGAATGATTTTATATGTGACATTAGTTCACCTGGGTGCAGTAGCAGATCCAGGAAATAATGACTGTAGGGATATCACAAACAGTAGCAGATCGAGGAAATAATGACTTTGGGATATCACAAACAGTAGCAGATCCGGGAAATAATGACTGTTGGGATGGGAATAAGTGATTTTAAAAATTAGGTTGCTGCTTTTGGGGGTGAAAAAACCCTAATCTACTGTGTATTCTGAAAAGCTACATCTTCCACCATCTTCTACGGATCTACCATGGACTGCATCCTTTTCATTTTATTTTGGTTTACCTGTGAGGATCCTGGCATAAATGAACTTATTGAATGTAATGCTGGCATACCTGAGTTCTTTGTACATTTATATATATATATATATAATGTGTCTGTGAATGTGTTCAAATTATATTTTGATATATAAAAAAAAAGTTCATGTACGATGTATGTTTTTTTATATTTAGTATAAAATAATGTAAAATTTGCCTTGTGGAATTGACATATTTTTTACAGCTTCTGTTCCCTTTAAAAATTGTTGGACCTAAATGTTCAAACTTCATATACCTTTAACATAGTATTCTGCATAAAGTTTTGTTGCAAGTGTGGAGGGAGGGGGGGGGGGATTATAAAAATTTTACCCAGGGGAAAAGTGTTTGTAATAGTGGCTTTCACAATTTTTGTTTGTAAAAGAGTATCTGTTCCCTTTAAAAATTGTTGGACCTAAATGTTCAAACTTCATATACCTTTAACATAGTATTCTGCATAAAGTTTTGTTGCAAGTGTGGAGGGAGGGGGGGGGGGATTATAAAAATTTTACCCATGGGAAAAGTGTTTGTAATACTGGCTTTCACAATTTTTGTTTGTAAAAGAGTAGTGAGATAGAAATCTCGCTACCAGCTGATGTTGGGTAGTCATTTGGTTTTATTTTCAATAATGAGCTGACGGCTCCTTACTAACATAAAAATGTATATGTCTCATTTGTTTTTTTGTTTTTTTATACTATGTATCTTGAGGGATCCACTTACTTAGGATAGAATGAAACTATTGGACTAAAAGTAGCATCTCTGCAACCCTGTACATGACCGTGTTGGTTGGTATGGGGACTCTTGTACGATCCACAAGGTTTCTTTTTTCTCTAGCACTTGTTCTATGAGCTGCTAACATCAGCACTTAAGAACATGGACATTTGACTAATGCTATTGTATGTATAGTCACCATACATTGTATCTGCATGTGCATTGTTCTGTCTGCTTGTTCACTTCCCCCACTTGCTTGTGGGATTCTTTAACCTCTTCACATTATTGGCTGCACTTTTGTTTTGTTTTACCTGGTTTTGAGAGTATTTATCTTCCTTTGTTGTGTTTTGCATTTATTTTTGTAACACTGCATTGTGGTTTGTTTTACTTGAAGTTGAACGTTACAAATAATTTCTGCACTTAAAATTTCTATACTGATGATTCCAGTTTTATGATATGAGCAGCTTCTAAATGTTGGGGTACACACTTACTATAGTGAGAACTACACAATGTAATAGAATAATAGAGTCTCTGTCAGAAGAGAAATCTAAAAATAAAATTAATTGCTCTTGGAATTGTTATAATAAAAGGATGGTGTCCACAGCTATCTCCCCTGCTACATTTGATTTCCTCTTGTTTGAGGCAAGGCGGGTGAAAGGATCAGCATAGAGATCGCTCCATTCTGTCTGTGAGCACCACTCTATGCCCTTTTCCTAACCAATACTGAGATGACAAAATAAACTTTGTTGGGCCCAAGATTTCTTTCAATCGTGACTTGAAATTATTAACTCAGATTTCTCTCACATCTGAGTAGCAAAAGCTTTAAAAATGTATGAGTTTTGTACAATGGTAAGACAAACTCCTGCAGTTAGTATGTGACATCTCGGAAAGCATACAGATGAATTTACAGTCTCTGCTTGTCATATTTTACATATCACTTTTGATTTGCTTGCAACTACTTTTATCATATTTGCCATTATTTCAATGATTTTTTATAATTTTTTTTATTACTTTATCCACTTGAGCCTAAAACAATTCTTCTAAATATGTGTGTATTAAGACTTCTACACATACTTGTGTATGTTGGGCAGATGTGTTATCATCAGAGAGATTTTTCATGAACTTTTTGGGGGAAAGTTGATGTATTATACAGAATAACACATGCAAAAACATCTAAAAAATATCCTATATTAATAAGGTATTTAGCACAAATAATGTGCCTTTGGTTTAAATTAAATTATATTTTCAACAAAAAGAAATTCACAAAACAGAAAATCACTTTCTTTATCATATGACTGAAAAAGTAATCAAATCAATTAAGAAAGGTTTAGAAATAATTTTTGTTCTAATTTAGTTTAAATTTGGTTTTTATTATTTTGCATTTCATTATGTGCAGTAAAGATAGATAAATAATTATTTGAAACGTTTTTTTATGCGTTTAAGAAACATGCAGCCCGTGAAGAGGTAACTCTAGATCTAATGGTCCAAAAGGCCATTTGGGTTGGCCACCCCTGCCTTAAAAGTAAAAAAATTAATTTT